CATCTTCATTCTTGAGTCATTTAATTATTAGCTAGATTAATTTTTCGGCCAATACTTATATTTTGCGCGATCCGTGCTGCAACTCTGAAAGCCAATTGCTCAGCTTGATTGTTGAAAAGCATCACGTCTTTCGGCACAACTCTCATTCTTCCCATCTTTGCTTCCTTCTGGGTATTTTACAAAATCTTCCGGGTTCACGTTCATAGCAGGAACGTTACCCAGATGAAGCCAAATCTGAGAGCAAACTGTCCAAATCAGAGCCATTCACTCCACTCACGACCTTTCCCACTTTGACAATAAGCGAAGGTACCTTGTTCTGCTATAAAATATTGCTCGACGGAAGGTCCTTTAAATGGTAGTATTTTTAGACTGTAACTTACCTAGGAATAACACTCGACACCAAATTACATTTTAGTCAAAACAACAAAAATCTTGTTGGCAAAGGTAAAGTTGCTGAAACTGGTAGTAAAAGCTGGTTTGTACTTTTTCCATTGGTACCAAACAAACCGCTCATATACACGACCATTGTTAAATCAATATTAATGTATGCCTGTCCCTCATGGAGTTACACATGCCAGTCAATTACTGTAGTGTATGTGTGTGTGTGTGTCATTTAATTCAGGAAGAATCTTCTCAAATAAATGTTGGATAACAGAAATGGATTATTATTTTATTTATTCTGGCGTCCCTCACTGAGTGAATCAGTGTGTATGTGTGTGTTGCGTGCCTGCGTTCTATTTGCGTCACTGTGACATTTGTATTTAGCCATGAGTATTTCGAGAATCTATTTACACTGTGGTATTTTGAAATAAGCAAAACGTAAAGCAGCTGAGCGTACTTATTTTCTAGTCATTAAAGAAACTTTACGCTTCAACAATGATTGATGAACAGGGTGGTCTTACAATACAAAAATATATATCGTAAAGAAATAATGTATCGTATTTAATGTAATACAGTCAACTTAGAAAAAAGAAATTTATTACAGGGTAAGACATAATTTTTTAGTTTGCGTAGTTTGTGTCGTTCTCAAGCAAAGTGAATTGATTGTGCAACGGGGTTCTATAATTCAGTAGAAATATTTTTTAAATGGAATACAAAATATAAAAACACATTGGAATCGGTAAAGTGCAAAGAGAATAAAGAATCCCCTCTTTTTCACGTGATTTACCGTTCTATATTTACTAGGTTGTGCTTTTAGGGACGTTGCTCCTATTTTATTTTTAACCGCACGTCAAACGAATAAAAAGGGACCTTTTCGTCCTGTGGAACCATGTTAACTATAAACCTAGGATAAGAACGTATCCTTTGTGAAGAATCACTTTCAAATTTGAAAAAAAAAAAACCGTGAGCAGTTGATATACTGTTTGAAACGAATCGCCCCGAGGCGAGGAAGTGATTTACAAAAGTGTCTTTTTCAAACGTGTGTACGACTTTGAATAAAACTGACACCTGTTGAATTGTTTAATGAAATTGATCGACGAACGTCGTTCCGTCCTAAATACATACGCCAACCGTTTCAAATACATTATGCAACACAGAATGTAATCTTGCATTCAACGTAGCGAGCAGACGACGACTGATCCATGGAAGTGAGACAGGGGATGAAAAAATATATCCGCTCAGCGCGATAAGAATGAAAGTTATTTTACCTTTAATAACTATTTTCTTGTTGCCAACGAGTTTTAACTCACAGTATTTTATATTTCTCATTAAAAATTTACTTCTAATCAATTGTCTAAACTCTTTCAAAAATATATTAGATTTCGTGGTCCGATTGACCAATTAACTTTTTTCAATTGATTAATCTTTATGTAAGGTATTGGTTGAGATAAAAAAGTCAGTGTCACGAGCGGGATTCGAACCCACGACCTTTCGGCTACATACGCCGCTGCTCTACCACTTGAGCTTTCATGACTTCGATCCACTCGAACACCAACTTCCCACCTCAATCCACCTTTTGAATTGCCCTCCTTTTTGCCATTTTTCAAATGTCGTGTAATCGGATTGGATTTTCGACGATAAATGAATGGCCACGGAGAGCTTTAGTGAAGATATACTTCATTTTGCTTATTAAATCCATTAGATTTCGTGGTCCGATTGACTAAATAACCACTTTCAATTAAATAATCTTTATGTAAGGTATTGGTTGAGAAAAAGTAAGCGTCACGAGCGGGATTCGAACCCACGACCTTCGGCTAAATACGCCGCTGCTCTACCACTTGAGCTATCGTGACTTCGATCCACTTCTTTCAATCATATCTTTTAAAAATATTTAATTTAGCTATTGTGAAAGTATAAACAAAATGTAGTAATTATCTCAATTTTTTTATATTTTCACTTGTAACGTTATTGCAATGATATAACCCAACCCATAAAGTATTTAACTATAAAGTTTTATGTCACCCGTTTGGTCTTTTTCGGTTTTCCGTTGCTAGGGTTATAAGCAGGGAGAGACAAGAAGCCCACCCCCTTCCGTTAATTCAAAACCGAACTTATTGTTATCAAATCTTAATCTATTCTCTAACCTTTTAAAAGCCAGTTCATAAAATATATAACAACTTTTGGCAAGATTTTCCCTCTTGTGAGGCACTTAAATTAATGGGATTTCAGAAGCAAAAATAACACGTCTCAAGCATGTCTCCATTATTGATAATTACCGTTTGATGACTCTGGAACATGAAAACTTTATTAATTAACAAAATCGCCGTTGAGATGATGAGAAGCCTCTCCGCCAATCCTGTTGGTGAGTTTCCTCGATAATATCGCCAGTTTGATTTAGAGGGTCTAATCATTGGTCATAATACGTTTTAGAGCCCAAAGGGTAATTTTCATATTAGCCGGGAATGTTGATTTTAGCCTGCGTCCTTTTTTTATCCTCCCAAGTTATTTGCATTGGCATTGAACTTGACCCAAGAACCTAACCCAAATCGCATCAAGAGGGCGACGCTTTCAATTTTCCTCAGCCTCACAAGTCCGTTCAAAAAATAAAAATAAATAAATAATTTCTTATGTAACGTTCCTCCTTTTTAAAATTGGCGCTTGTAATATACGCCAGAATTAATTATTCAATACGTGAACCTTGAAACAGTTTGTTGAGCATACACAACATTACTTATTTTGCAAATTGAAACCAATATTTGCCCATGGAAGAAGCCAGACATGCCTTTTTCTTCTTTCATTCCATTATGAAGCTGAAAAATGTAAACATTTGTTGAATTCTATGAACTATTATTCATGTTAATTAAAATAATTCCCACTGAGGTTGCACATAAGTACAAAACACTAGTTAAAATATCATATTTTACATTCAATTTTTAGCCTTAAATTGTTAAATTAAGCTATGCAGTCGTATTTTAATATTTACCAAGCTTATTTAAAAAATTTCACGTATAATTGTCTATATTTGGCTATTTGTTTAAATAAAACCTTTTATATAATAAATTTAAAAATATGATTAATAAATTATACATTAATAAATTTATTATAAATGTAATAAATTTTAAGTAAACCTTTTAAAGAATGGCGAAAACAAATAAACGATATCTCATTCTAACTTTAATAGACATCTATCTTGTGTTAATATAATCATATATACTCTAGAATATTTTTATCAAATATTATAATTAAAATTTACGACAAAACATTAACAGTAATTACAATTAATTAAGGTTTTTAGTTGAGATGAAAAAAATGCTAATGGCACGAGAGGGATTCGAACCCACGACCTTCGGCTTGATACGCCGCTGCTCTACCACCTGAGCTATCGTGACCTCGATCCACTCGGACATCAACTCCCCATCTCAACCCCACCTTATGAGTTTTCCCTCCTTTTGCCATTTTTCAAATGTCATGTAATCGGTTTGGATTCTCGACGACAATTGAAATGGCCACGGAGAGCTTTAGTGAAGTGTACTTCATATTAATTCTTTAAATTCACTAATTTCGTGGTCCGCTTGACGAATTAAATCATTACAATTAATTAAGGTTTTTAGTTGAGATGAAAAAAAGCTAATGGCACGAGAGGGATTAGCTCAGGTGGTAGAGCAGCGGCGTATCAAGCCGAAGGTCGTGGGTTCGAATCCCTCTCGTGCCATTAGCTTTTTTTCATCTCAACTAAAAACCTTAATTAATTGTAATGATTTAATTGGTCAAGCGGACCACGAAATTAGTGAAATTAACAGTAATGTCAATTATGTGACTTTTTTGAGTGCTGCTAGGTGACGAACATGCCCAGCTCGTCTCGATTGGTCAGGTTATAAGCAGGATGAAACATAGCGCAGACATCTTACTTTCATGCGAATTTTCTTATGAAAATAATAAAAATATAAAAATGAATCTTAAAAAAGGGGCGCAAACAGCACACGAACCTACAAATGAAGATGAAAAAGTTCAGAAACGCGTCTGACTGACAAAACAAACGAGGATAGGCAGGACAGAATGATCGGAAACGATCAAACCTCAGATTGATATCAATACTGATAATGTTGTAGTTATTTATATCAAATTTGTTTGGTATAAATCTTATAAAGCTTCTTTTTTTAATGATTTCTCTTGGCTTATTGTCAAATTTGGCATTATTTTGACATTGCACCACGTTGCAATTTAGTAAAATGTTTCTAAAATACAATATGAATGTTCTTGAACTTTTAAGTCATTATACTGCCAAAACCACTGCTAAACAGCACATAAAACTGCAACTGAAGATGGCAAAGTGCCGAAACGCGTCTGACTAACCAAACCAGCTAAGATCAAGAGAACAGAGTGATCGGAAACGATCAAACTGCTGATTGGCATCAACGTTGTTGTAGTTTTTGACAAAATCTGACAAAGTTTATTCTTTAGGGTTTTGCTTGCTTATCGGCAAATTTTGCATTATTCTGACTTTGAGGTTATTATAATGAAAAATATATTGTTAATTTATTTTGTACACAAACTGTCAAGATGGAGAGTGCAGCTATTTCTAAATTTAACTCCTTTTCTAAAAAGATATATTTCTATGACCTATTTGTTTTATTTCTCAGGTTTGATGGAGACGAAGAAAGAGCTGGTGATACAGGAGAAATTATATCCGAACGGACTAGCAGACGGAGGAGGATGGGACAACCGGTTGGACGAAGCGGAGGACTTGCAGTGCGGGCTGGGCCCCTGCAAGCCGAAGTGGATTCAGTTTTTCGCTTCGAAGCAAGCCTTCCTCGTCACTTTCTGCATCACCTGGGTCCTCCAAGGGATGTTCTACACGTACTTCGTCAGCGTGATAACGACGATAGAGAAGCTATTTCAACTCCAGAGCAAGACGACGGGCTTTATAATGTCGGCGACGGAAATGGGACAGATCGGTTCCTCCCTTCTTCTGACCTATTACGGCGGCCAGGGACACCGTCCGAAGTGGATAGCCTGCGGTATGGTGCTATTCGCACTTTCCGCGTTCGCCTGTTCTCTTCCTCATTTCATGTTCGGACAGCAGATGCTCACTGAAAACAGCTCTGTCTTGGTGCCCCCGAACACTTGCCGTCTCGACTCGTATCTAGCACTCAACAGTTCGATCTACGACGACCAGTGCAAAGAGGAATACCTCGTCGAACAAAGGATCCAGTCTAAGATCACAACTCTAGTTTTAGCGATATTTTTTATTAGTCTTTTAGGCGTAGGTATGGGACAAACAGCCGTGTACACGCTCGGCATTCCGTACATAGACGACAATGTCGCTAGTAGAGAAAGTCCCCTTTATTTTGCCATTACGATAGGAGTAAGGATTTTGGGACCCGCGTTGGGGTTCATACTGGGTTCTCTCTGTACGAGGTTGTACGTCGATCTATCCCTCGACCCACAGATCACACCGACCGACCCCAGATGGGTCGGTGCATGGTGGCTCGGACTAGTCATGATATCAAGCTTGTTGATACTTTCGTCGTTGGCTATGTTCTCCTTTCCGAAAAGGCTGAGCACCTGCCGGCCAATAGCCCCGTCGAAAAAACACCCTCGGGATAAACCGAGAAAGAATCCGAGCCTGAGGGACTTTCCAAAGGCGGTGAAAAGGCTCCTTAAAAACGACATACTCATGTTTCGAACGGCCAGCTCTGTCTTGCACATACTTCCCATTGCGGGCTTGTACACATTTTTACCTAAATACCTCGAATCCCAGTTTAGACTAACCGCTCACGACGCCAACATGTTCTCAGGTAAAAAGTCAATTTATTAGTGGTTCCGACGAGTAAATCTGACAACGTATTAACTCTCGAATTTCAGGCGTGGGTGGAATTCTCGTAATGGGCCTCGGGATAATTCTCTCAGGGGTCTTCATCCTGAGAGTTAAGCCGAACGCAAGGTTCGTCGCTGCTTGGATCGCTTTCACTGCAGTAATTTACGCTATAGGTAATTAATCTGATCAATAAGTTACATTTAAATTGACCAAACCCCATAAACCTAACCATTTATCTCATTCCCGATAATCTTAGAAGAACAAAACATTATTCCTTCTCACTAGTTTGACCTCCGTAAACACCACTTCACAATCCAGCTATGCCGCCGTGTTTGTAGAAGCAATCTCTTTTTCTCTTGAGCTGAAAAAGTTCTGCTCGCGTGTTTTCCTTGGTGTGGCTCAATCAATTGAAAGGATCTACTATCATCCGTGTTTGCTGTACCTGATACTTCTTCCTACACTCCCGGCAATGATACCCGATGATACTGTTATCCTACCCTAAAATAAAGATCCTTTCCTCTTACGTCCCTACAAGCTCACCTTTCTAATATAGAACTTTTGTTGAAAAAGTGGTGAATAAAAATAAATGTTGACAAAAATCAACATATAACTTTTAGTGGCTTTACATCCTCAAAACACACACACACACACACACACACACACATACGCATGCATGCATGCATGCAATCCACTTACGATATTATAAAAGCAGGAACTGACAAAACGTTGCAAAACATTTCCAAGGTTCTACACAAACGAACAAAACTGACGCTTTTTAACGACTGATAAATAAGATAGACATCTAACTGTGGAGTTTAGCTAAACATTCCAACCTTGATCACATCCAGATTTCCCAAATCAAAAATCCGCAATGGCTTTGGACACAAAATTCCTTTCTTTATACCCCAATCCCTTATTTCTAAGCTTAATATCCCACTTTATCCCTAATAATCCTCCAAGTAAGTTACGACCAATTGGGCAGAGACATGTAGTCATTACTAGAAGGGCTACCACTGGACTCTTCGGACCCGAGATGTAGATGTAGATGTGTTCACACCCGAGATGTCCGGTAAGAGCACCAGCGCCCTGTAAGAGCTTATCCCCCCCTTCTGTGTTTAAAGCACACCGGTGAGTCTTAGTTCTTGAAGGAACTTGATTAGTAGGCCCGGTTTCAGTGGCTGAATCTCTTCACGGTTACGACATACGTCCCAAAACACTTCCTCTTGCGGTCAAGTGTAGCACCAATGTTTGTTAGTGGGGTGTTGGGTTTCATCTGCTTCTTTTGCAGAATCTGCACGTGCCGTGTTGGGCTATGCCAATCTTCTTCAGATATCCACTTAGAAGTCTGTTAAGAATCCTGTTAGGAATCGTAGTTTTTCCTGCCTGCTCTTCGCATCCTAATGCCACATTGTTTTTATTTTATTTTTATTTGACATTACAAAACATTTAAGTACTTAATAACAAAAGCTGTTGTAAAAATAAAATCATTTACAATAAAAAGTGAATTTTGTGAGATGATGAATCTGTAGCTTGAACATCCCCGATCATCCTATCTGCCCTTTTCCCCCGACATTAGTGGCTGGAATTTTTGATATTTTGTCAATCGTGTCCTTTAATTAGCTGTATTTTTACGTCATAAATTGGGTTTTACTTCAACTTATATATATAATTTATATACACGATTAATAAAATAATAGAGATCAACCCCTGCGAAATAAGTATTGCAGAAGAAAAGTAACAATTTAAAATCAATACTATTTCGCAGGGGGGAAAAGGCAGGTCAGGATGACCGGAGATGCTGAAACTACGGGTTTATCACCTCGCAAAACTCATTTTTTATTGTAAATTATTTTATTTCATTTTATTTTACAGCAGCTTTTTTCGTTATATACTACAAGTAAATTTTTTACAACCACCTTCGAAATAAGAATTGATTTTAAATTGTTACTTCTCTTCTTAGGAATGGGGATTTTAATGTTCATGGGATGCCCAATGACCGATTTCGTCGGTCTTAAAAGAGAGACCAGGTATGTAATCCATTTAATAGTTAAAACAGTTTTCAATATTATCAAAAACTTTTCAATTAATTAAGGTTTTGGTTGAGATAAAAAAGTCAGTGTCACGAGCGGGACTCGAACCCACGACCTTCGGCTAAATACGCCGCTGCTCTACCACTTGAGCTATCGTGACTTCGATCCACTCGGACACCAACGTCCCATCTCAACACCACCGGAGTGGATCGAAGTCACGATAGCTCAAGTGGTAGAGCAGCGGCGTATTTAGCCGAAAGTCGTGGGTTCGAATCTGCTTGTGACACTGACTTTTTTTGGTCAAGCGAACCACGAAACCTAATAAAATAAAAAATAAAAAATTATCAAAAACACCACCAACTTTAAGGACGATTTGTATTCATAATATTTTTTCATCTCAGTTTGTCTAGATTTGAGCCTGTCTGTGATAGCGGTTGCAAGTGCGACTACAACAAATTCAACCCGATTTGCGGGAAAGACGGTAAGACATATTTTTCAGCGTGCCACGCCGGATGTCAGAACGTTACCATTATCGACGGGAAAGAAGTCGAGGTGAGCCGCCTGTTCAATCCGCAGTCATAAACATAAAAACAAACGTCTACACCCTTTGATCAGTTCTCAGATTGCCTCTGCATGGACAATTACGATCCCGGAGGTCAGCCGAACAAGGCGAGCGTCGGCTACTGCAATTTAGAGTGCGGAAACTTCATCTGGTACATCCTTCTCTTCTCGCTCTTCGCTTTCGTACATTCGACTTCAGAAGTCGGTAGTATGCTCCTTATATTAAGGTGCGTCGATCCGACCGACAAAGCCATGGCCTTGGGATTAATCCAATTTGCTATTGGTCTATTTGGTAAGAAATAAAATTGTACTTGTACTTACCCGTGTATTATCTCCTCGACCGGATTGACAGGTTGCCCCTTGTCGATCGATCGGTCATTTTCAAAAATTGTTTCCCCCCCGCAAATTTTTTACCCTGAAACATTAAAATTGAACTGGTTTGTTGCTTGTGCAGAGTTACAATCCAGTTTTTTTCATTTAATGGTGAATAAATGAGAATAAGAGACAAAGAACTAAATTTAAATTTACTTTGGAAGATGATTCTTCCTTTTGTTTAAACTTTAACTTCTATAAAAGTTTTGAAAATGACCAGTATATTTAACAAAAAATTTAAGCATGTTAACTAGTTCTTTTTACGTTAAACAAGCTTTTTTATCAAGAAACAAAGTTCACATGAGTTTTTCTCAGATTCGCCAGAATAGTACTTTTTAGAGTCTAGAACGACCGGAAGTCTCGTGTCGAACTAGAGTACATAATGGTTTTCTGCCTCTTTTAAAAACAGCACGAACACGCGGAAAAGAAAGAAAAGAAATGGACGGTTTTAACATAAAAACGCCTCGTTTGCAGGGAATGTGCCATGCCCTATAGTGTATGGTGCCGTGGTGGACTCAGCCTGCCTTATATGGGAGACGACCTGTGGAAAACAGGGGGCTTGCAAACTCTACGATGAAAACTTCTTCAGGATGTTCTACCACGGTAAGTCTTCAATTTTTCAATGCTTGCAGTAACTCGGTAAAAGCGACTGACAAGGAAGTGGGAATGATCACAAATTATAACTAGATTTAATTGACTAAGGAAGACGTATATTCGCCTTGCGGTCTTAAGTGAGTGTCAGGGTTATAAGCAGGGTGAGGACTATCCTATATATCGTTCGCATATTTTACAGGCGAGATACCAATATATACAAGGGTAAGTACCTAGCTTCTCCCTGCTTATAACCCGATCGGCCGCTTAATCGCGAATCGCCGAAACGCGTCTGACGGACAACACTTTGCAATGAAATTTTAAATTATCATCTTAAAAATACAACAATTTTGTCGTAATGTATAATCAAAATCTATGAATTTTCATCAATATTTTTACGACAGTTGTCAGGAAACCCTCGAAACAATTCCAACAACATACCACCGACGAAGAAAATAATTTCTTGTAAAATTAAACACAAAAATGGCCTTTTCTTTAGACGCTAGACACGTGGAAACTACGCGTAAATTCCGAAACGAAAGTGAAAAATTCCAAAGACTTTCTAACTACAGCCTGAATTCGCGGGGTTACCACGCTGAGAAACTGTCATTACTTTTACTGCTAATTATTAAAAGTAATTTTTGTAATAACGATCAATTTATCATAATCATTACAATTCTAAAAAAATATTATTTACTTATTATCTTCATTTTGCAAGCACATCCAAGCAGCTCCTTTGCATTGCTCGCATTTAACCCAGGCGAGATATGAATAAATGGTTGGAGTGCCATGCTACACCCTGCTTATAACCCTGATCGCCTATGACCCCTCATTTTCTAGAATAAAATAGAAATTATTTATTGTATTGTTGTAAGCATTACATATATATTACTTATCATTTACTATATATTTATCTTCTTCTTTTTACAAGAAAATTCAGGGTTATAAGCAGGTTGGAGACAAGATTCTCCCATACTTTGTTCACATTTGGCCAAGTGAGATACGAATAAATTCTGGATGTGATTTGCCTCATCTGGCTTATAACACAGACTGTCTGTAAATCTCTTATTTATGATCAATTTATCGTTAATTACTTCAAGTCTCAAATATAAATTTTGCATTTATTTATTACCTTCGTTTTGCAAGCACATTAAGGATAATAAGCAGGGTTGGAACAAAATTCTCCTCTACATCCTTTGCATTTGACACAGGCAAGATACGAATAAATTGTAAGAGTGTCTTGCCTCACCCTCTTTATAACCCCGGCCATTAGAAATCTTATTTACAATCAACTTATCATTAATTATTTCAACTCTCAAAAATAAACAAGTTATTTAATACCTTCATTTGTAAGCACATTGGAATCAATTGGGAGTTAAAGGGAGAAAAATGCTATAATTTATTTTTACTTGTGCAGCAGCTTAAATTTTGTCACATATACACAAATAAGACAATTAGACAAGTTATAGTTATCGATTTTTACAATCTGTTGCATCCACCCATTGCCATTTTCATAATCGACTTCAAGTTCCTATTTTCTTCCATATTATAATATTACTCTATTTATGTTATTGTATATGTAAATAAAGTTCACTGATGAATAAACAAAAGATAATTCAATAATTGCCAGCATCTCACTCAATTTTTACGACTCGATTTCATAATCTTACCCACTTCTCATTGATGTCCCAGATTCATAAATTAAATGATTTAACACCATTATGCAATAAAGGGTGTTTTATATTTACTCCATAAAGTGTTTCTAATTGCATCGTTTCGCTTCTTTTCAAACATCAAAGAAATGGTAAAAAAAACTTGTTTACATCAATTTGTAATAAACACTATAAATTTCTGAATTGATTTGTGTTTCATTTCACTTTGTAATATAGCCTTTGAACTATTTGCACTAGTTTTTTCCAATATAGATAAATGGAAAAATAATACTAGTAGTAAACAATATTTTATCTTATCTTTGATGGCTGAAGATATAATGTCACTATCCACTGTATCTGCAGTTAAAAATTAATAAGCATGATTTTTTGTCATTTTAACCTTGGCTATATCAATTTTTTGGCTATCCTCACAAATGTGAATGCTCTGAATTAATGACCGAGTAAATCAGCAATTGCTTAAATGATATTGTTTTTATCTGAATTTTTATGTAAACATCTTTTTCATTCTCTCTCTCTCTCTCTCTCTCTCTCTCTATCTANTATATGTTTTTAAAAGAACTAAAATAAATGTGCTTACCTATCAATACAATTTATCCAGTAATCACTTGTGTAAATTTTCTAGGCCTATGTAATCCTCATTTTTCTTGTCTGATTTACAACAAATAACATTATTGTTTGAATATCTCACATAGCTTACCATAGCATAAAGAAAGAAATTCTCCTGATCTCACACTTACGAAATTCCATCAAGGTCAACTGCAAAGAGATGACAGTCTCCCTATAATCACAAAATATTAATTGATGTGGTTTATATATGCGGTTTATATATTTTTGTGTGAATTAGTTTATTTATAATTATGGTTCTGATTTTTTTTACCCCTGTTCAGGTACGACTGGTGCTATTCTTCTATGTGCGTTTTTGGTCGATGTAATTGTTTGGTATAAGGCTGGCAGTATAAATTTTGTTGATGAACAAGTTACCGAACAAGAGGATGAATTAAATCCTTTCACTGGAAAATCTAGATCTGAAACAAGTGTATAGGTGAGTTCCTAATTCGAGCTAACACATTCTAAATATAATTAAACAATTTCTATTATTAAAAAGTATGATACTAAGTAAACTTGAAAATTTCCTTTTGTATTCAGGAATGATCTGCAAAGCTCAGTTTGTGACTGACATCGTTCTTCTTTGAAAACGACCTCAATATCATTTTGTCGCTGTATAGATAAACAAGAGTCCTCTATGAATTAAAACTTGTGATAGATTTGCATGCTTTTGACCTCTATGTATGCTAATTTATTTTTAATTAATGTATAATGAACATGTTTGAAAATATCGGCTTAGGGTAATAAAAACAAAACTTATAGGTAATTTATTTTAGATTAACCTGAATTTGCGTAAATGTTAATCGAATCTTGTATTCTCTGTTTTGACTTTTCAAAAATAACAAATTGTTAATGCAATTGCATTGTAAAGCTCAAATTGATATAAGACTAAAAAAATTGTTTTACAGTCTTCTGACATAATTATTCTTCTACCTCAGGAGAACGAGTTCTCTGAATAGTCAAGTCACTTGTATTGTATAAGTGAGCAAATGAATACGTGCTTGTCTGTAAGTCTGAATGTTTGTACATAAATATAATAATAAAAATATATGTGTATATACAATACATAAATATAATGATAAAAACTAGCTTTAAACAAAGTTATTTTCAATGATGCTAAGAAAAAATATATATATTTATATTTAAAAAGTAAATTGTTATAAATAAAATTTGTAAATTTATATATTTCATGAATACAAATGTTATTAATTAAAAGTGGGCCAAAAGATTCGATACTATCATTGTTTTTGTGTACTTGTATTTTTATTTTGCCTTATCTTTTTTTTACCTTTCTGTTTTTGTTCTATGTTCAACAATTATGATTTTTCATTTACATTATTGCTCATAGACAATTGATTGTCTTAGTCATTTGATGAAATTCTATATCCTTTTACAGTCCTTTTTTTTAAACAACTTTCACTTTTCACTTTTAAAATGGGTGGCTGAATCTCTACTGTGAATTTTCAATTTTTTTGGTGCTGATATCATAATGATAATGTTTAAGCTTATGTTATTTGTTGAATAATTTTGTTAATATCATGTTATAATTTGTTATTTTAGAAAGATTATTTAGACTGGTATTTTGGTTAAAATTTGGAAACGTTGATGAATTTTAAAAAGGGAGGCAAATTAATTTGCCTGTAGCAACCAAAGTTGTGCCATATACAACAAGTCTTGGATGTATTTGAATTAAATGTCCACATTGGCTACTACAAGATCTGATCATTGTTTTAACTATTGTTATATAAACCTATAACCACCTATAAAAATTAATTAATTTAAAAAAAGAAAAGTTGTTTTTTGTAATAATAGTTAATATTTAATAGTGTAAAATAAATTTAGTTAAATTTTTACAGGATAACACTGAAAAAATGTATATAATAATTAAATATTGGAAATATTTTATTGGTATAAAAAGTAAAACAAATTTTTAAACAATTTTTAGTGTTACTTGTCAAAGTAACAGGTGATTATAATATACCTGCAGCGTAATATCAAGTTAAATATAAGAGAATTTATATAAAATGTGAAACAATTTTTTAAAAAGAAATTATGTTTTCCAAAAGTAGCCTAAATTTTTTTTACAAAATATTTTTTTAAACCGATCAAAGACTATTATAATCGAGATGGAATGTAAAGTGGTTGTGCTCCATAGTATGTTGAAGATAATTAATTATCGCCTTGTAATTGTTTAACGATTGTTTTGAAATGTGCCTAAAAGTTATTGATGTAAATTTCATTTTTTTTGTAAATGTTTTATTATATATTTGTACAAATTTTTTTTTGGTCTGTATCAAAATTGTGCAAAAATATATAAATTAATATATACTATAGTTTATTGTATTTTACCCAAAAGTAATAATAGTGGTAATAATTAAATTTAGAATTAGGAGAAATGCATTCAGACAATAACTGCGATGCTGCCACTTTCCCAAATATCATGGTATAAGTCATAAAGAATAAAAATAAAACATTTTGCATGAATATGGTATAAATGTTGTTGAAGATTGCAAAAAATAAAAGGCATTTGATTTTCGACTAATTAAAGAAAATATGCATCATAACTCAAAATTTAAATTTACTTATAGCTTTTAATCAAAATCAAATCATTCACTCAAAATAGCAAATCTTGATGTTATTTCAATATCCAGTTCACATCCAGAAACCATTTTTACAAGCAATTTCAGCAGCTACTTCAAAGTTCTAACTTTATCCACAATTTTCCTACACACGCCAAATTTTATTTTTAAAACCATAAAGTCAAATTTGATATTTATTTTTAATTATGGTACTTAAGCTATTTACATTACCTTGAGGTGGGTTCTGAGACATGAAGATATAGAAGGAAATCTCTCACCCATGGGACCTCACACAAACAGGGCTGGAAAAATGGCTTGAAGAAAAAAACTCAAACACTCGGACAAAAAACGAAGTATGAGGCAAGCTAAGGGATTCGTAAATCTCTCAATAAAGGAACTCCTCCTTCTCAGGAAAATTATAGGCTTCTATACTAGCCTCTGCCCAGTTAATTACACCTAAAGAACATGGGCAAAGTAGAGAGAGTAACATGCCAACTCTGCCAAAAGAAAACAGAGACATCTGCATATATCCTTTGTGAATGTGATGTGCCTGTATACAGTATAGCCACTTAAGTAAGGTAATTCTCACACCATGAGAAGTACACAAAGATGGAGATATTTCATCAATAAATTTTAAATTACTAGGCTTTATATCTCGCAACCATAATTTCAGAAATATTAGCCGTACAACAACTCTATTGCTACCTTGTCCATTCTAATCTGAATTTTCTTCTCCTGTTTGGCCTCCTTATCTTCTTTATTTTTTTATTTTCTATTTATTTGCAAATTAATAGAATTGATTGTTCTTTATTACTTTCTCACCTAAATTTCCAAGTTCCACACCATAATCAGAAACTTTCTTCCATATTCTTCATTCCTTACATTGCTCATGATTATCTTCATTCTGGTATCAACCAATTAAAAAAAATAGTTAACAACCTTATTCAGAAGTTTCCTCAACTAGATATATTCAGTAGTTCATTACAAACCATTATATCACATCTCCGGCTATTTAAAACAATTAGATTTTTACTATTTTCTTTTTCTTTTAATTGAAAGTTTTAATTCTAACTCTGCTTAGCAGAACATAAGATTTGTGAAAAGATTTGAAATTCAAGTGCAATTTACTTCTCAACTAACTTACCCTTTCGGATGTATAATTTATTACAAATGTTTAAGTTAAGTTATAGTTTTTTCATATGGGAAAATGTTATTTTTATTGCAAAATGTATTGTGTACACAGCCAAGTCAACTGCTCAATATAGTTTTTCCTTCAAGTAGAGCACGCTTTTTATTTTTAACCTGTATTTTTTCCTTTTTAATAGATTGTCGCAATTGTAAAAATTTTGAAATAGCTTTGAGGTACCTCACAAAACAGCTTCCTTCTCGTCGGAGAAAATTTCTCTTGACAATGATTTTCAAGGATCATCTATGGTTCCACAGAGGCAATTCTCTGGTACAGCTGTAGTACAGAGTGAATTTAAAATAATCTCTCTTAAAGATTTCTCTGGAAAATACCTCCATTTGTTTTTCTACTGGATGGACTTTTGTTTTGCCTCCCTGACATAATCGCCTTCAGTGATTGCATTGTTGAAAATTTAAACACAGCTGCGATTGAAATCGGTAGGAAATCACTTCTTGAAAATTATGATGTACCTAAGTGGTTCATTTTGAATTGACCTAAAGATAATTAATAAGCAGGTGACCATAAATGATCTGCCAGTTAGTTGGATGCTCAGTTGATAGTCTTAAGGTCGATTAGAGCATTCCAATGTGTAGATATCCACAATGAAGTCTGCCCAGTCAATTTTAATATTTCAATAAAGTTAACCCAGCTAAGACAAGCTGAATATAATTTAACGAAGGGGAATTTTTGTAAATGAGTATAGTAAAATCTTTATACAACAGATAATAATTTTGGAACCTTATGCGTACTATTTCAGAGATTCTTATAATGAAAATATTTTCCATTTCCATTAGAATGAAACTATATCTGTAATCCATTTTTTATATTGTATTTTGGGCTTCTGCCCGTTTAATTAAATAAATGTTTGTTTATACATTAATTTTTGGCATCAATTCCTGATTGAATAAAACATAAAACTGAATATATCCAACTTTTTTTTAACTTTTTTAATTATGGTTCTGCAGAACAAAATTTGTTGTTTATAACTTTTGTTTCAACTGTTGTTGTAAACAACAAATTCTGTGATTAGAACAATGATTTACAAGAAGTGAATCTACATACTCGCCCCACCTTTACTATTTTTATTACTATTTTTACTTCTATTAGACAACTCCTGTCTTTAGTTTTGATATACATGGATTAACAATTCAAAATAATGTTCCGTCAAGCCGGTTTACTTAATAAAATAATTTATCTTTAAAAATATTTAAAAAAACTTCAAATATCATTGAATACTTTTGTGATGTCATGCAAGATAGCATGAACCACTGCATAAATAAGAGGAAGGTAATTCTGTTAAATTTTATCATTCATCGTTCAAAATCCGAATAACTCTTTAACTGAGTGCAGTTAATTATTAAAGCAAGACACCCAGCAATCAAAATTATGAGTTCGGAAGAAGAACAAAGCAGAAAAGTGGACGAAGCGTTTAAAAATGTCATTAACCAGATTGACAAAGAGTACCTGAGGCCTATACAAGTGAGTCCAAGCTGAATAATCACGTGGATGCTTTACTATTTATTTCTTCTTTTTTTTCTCCTGAAGGAACCTATTAAATTATAATAGCTATTTTCATTATAAGAATCCCAGAAATAGCACACAACGGTTCCAAAATCTTCAGTATTTTGTTCCTTTTAGCAAGTAGACCAAGGTTTATTTTCAAACAAATTTGTATATTTTGTATGTCCTCAGGTCAATATGCACTATTGTGCTGCAAAGTGCTGTGAAAATCAAACGGGAAGTTTAGAAGATGTGCAGAACTGTATACAGAGATGTAGCAATTTCTTAACACAGGCTGAAAGCATAGTTAAGGACGAATTTAACACTATTCAGGTATTTTGTATTATTTTTAATTGATAAAACATGATTTTAATTGGGGTTTATTTTATTTTTTTATATTTTTTTTTAAAGAATCGATTGCAGAGAGGTGTAATGGACTGTCGTGATGACACAAAGGTTCAAATTCCACCGACGGCGACTGAACAAGATGTAAATTGTCCATTTAATTTCTAATCTTGTTTACTTTATTAAAATTTCTTTTATTTTCAGATGGAAAAATTCAACAAAGTGTTTGAAAAATGTGTAGTCTCATCGATAGAAAATAATATGAAAGGCATTCCTCCTATGCTGAGTCGTCTGAGGGCTCGTTTAGGTGAAATAAAACAAAATGCCGTTAAAAGCTAATATTAAATTTGTTTCTAAATTTTTGTAGAAAATTATTTATGTTCGTAACAAGACTCTGTATGCATTATTTATATTATTATATCAAGTCGAGTTTCTAAACCATTCCCTTAGGGACAAGTAAGGAAACTGTCATATGAATTCATCAATTTGAAAAATTGAAGAATTAGTTTTAAAATTTGTTTACAGGAACTCCTTTTTAGTACATGTGATACATGAAATAGGTTTTACATAAAAAACAGAGTGAAATGTAAAAATTGTTATAATAGGGAAATGTCTGAGTGTAGATGAATGGTTGAAAGCAGTTTGGTTCGACTTACTGTAAGAAAAATATACGGCAAACTAAAAAATGTGAAATCATTGTGTTCACAAGGATACAATAATATATTACCAATTATCCAAAACCTGAATCCCACAAAAAACCAAAATATATCTTATGAAAACATACAAACACTAAAATAGAAATGTAAATTAAAAAACAATAGCAGCAACAATTATGAGAAAAAAAACTACTTAAAACTAAACATTACAAGAAGACAGTGTACAACAAGGTCATGTAATAAAAATGGTAATGAATTGAACTAACCAATTTCAAATCGAGTAATATTAATAAACCTCTATAAACAGTAAATTATGCTGATTATTAAATAATAAAAATTAAAATTGTGAGATTTCTTATTGAGATCGTGAGTTAAACTTTTTGGTTTGAGTTATGGTTGCATTTTCGATTAGAGAAGTAAGAAAAAAATATGTTTGTTGTAAGTCAGTACAATCACGAACTACTTGATGTTCATAAAACAAAACACAATATATTTACCACATTTTAATTTTACATCTAATTTATTGTGTTAAATTTTGAAATTTTATAGTTTTTGAAAAACAAAAATATGAGTGAAATTAGGACATTTTGGTCAAATGTTTCATTAGAACTAAAGAACTAAAATAAAGATGAAGCTTGTAATAAGTTGTTTATTAACTTATTTATTATTAAGTATATAAATTTAACAAACTCAACATTAGTACAAGCAACGATGATGCTGTAAGATTCACTGGTGACTTGAACTGAGGATTTTTCAATAAATCATCGACTGGTTTTTGATAAATTTTAACATTCATGTATGAATTTTATTGCTTAACAGGAAACAGTATTGCCTCATTTGTGCTACCATAAGGTCTGATCCACCATTTTTCAAAATGTTTAAAACGCATCTATAGTTAAATAACCTTTGCTGATAGTATCAACCCTACAGGGGACTGTAACATCAGAGAAGAGCCAGTTTAGCTGTCGCTTTTAGCTTGCAAAGGTCATTTATAAAGATGTTAAATAGCATTGGTCCAAGAACAGTCCCTTGGGAGACCTCATATCTTCTTTAACATTATCACAGTTCGAACATTTTCATTTATTTTTGGCATTATAACTAGCTCAATAATCAAATTTTTGAGCCTAATAATCCTTTGATTTAATTATATAAGTTGTCAGCTTATTCATACAATAATTTTTGGCATAAATTCCTGATTGAGTAAAGCATAAATCTGAACATAGTCTTATAGTTTTGACATTCATGGATTCAGGATTTCATTCAGAAATGTTCAACTAAGCCAGTTTACTTAAAGTAATACAATTTTCTTTAAAGACAAAAGAAAACTTTCAAAGCTTTTTGAATAGTTCAGTAGTATGTGCAGAATCGATTAATAAATGGGTCTTTTTGTTGATTTGGTTCCTAAAACCAAAAGAAATATTTAAAGTTTATTTAAAACAGTTTAAATTTACATATTCTTCTAAATTATAGTAATTTTAAGTTTTTATATTATCCAATTATTTGTCTCTCTTTAAAAATCTAATTTCCAAAAGAGATGTCTGTATAATTTCATTGTTTGATTTCGTCACTGGCATTTATAATCAAACAAAATAGCAATTTTGCTACATGCCAAGCGGAGCGTCATAAGCTTGAGTATAGCTATTTTGTTTATGAGGCATAAGCACGTGTTGAGTTTGAGTAAAAGGTTTTGAACTGTTACAGCAGTTGAAAAGTTTCAACAATTTTTGATTTTTACATTTTACTTAAAATGGTTAGTATATACATAAAAATATGTAATTTAATAAATAATAAATAACATCTTTATTTTATATATTAATTATTAGTAAAATATATGCATGTCTTAAATATATTGGTTAATTGACTTAGTGTAAATAATGAAAACAAGGTACAAACTGTCCTTTGAAGTTAAAAAAGATGTATTTTTTTAATTGCACGTATTTATCAGTTTTAATGTGATATAAATTATAAAAATTGAAAAAGGGATCCAAAGTTTATTGGCCAGGGAGTTAACATTTTCATAAGTTTTAAGCAATCATCTCTTAATGTTTCATGCACTAAACATTAAATTATTTATTAAATTTAAAAAAAAGCACCTGGAATATATATGTAGCAGAATCATAAAACATTCAGGATAAAAATTATTATTCATAATTTCTACATAGTTTGCTCCAACTCGCTCTGCACGGTTACTGCTCTGGAGGTAACGAACAGGCGGATGAGGTGATTAAGGCTGGGCTGGAGGTCCCAACCTCTGGACTTAACCACCATAATCCAGCCATCTGAAGCTAAATATGCAATTAAAAAAAAAAAAAAAAAATTAAATTAAAAGAATGTGGCAGTGTCGGTGGGTCAGATTGGCCGAGAAGCTCTCACGTATCAAGAGCACTGTTTATAGGTGGCCCTCGGAGGGTCTGATCTCTTAGGCCCAGTACGCACTGGGATTCTTTGAGTTGACTCTTTGAATCTCCGGAGAGTCTCGGCTGCGTCTAGCCTGAATCTGGGCTGCCCCAACTCATTGTTGCGATGAATCTGGTGTGTTGCGGGCTAGCATTTTCCGACTTTTGAATCCCATCCGATGTATGGCAACATTTGCCAGTGCGGGCGTGAATCGGAACAAGCGCTCTTCCTTCATTTGTTTAGTTGACGTTCTAGTGAGTGTTTTCTTGAAGATTTTGATACTGTCTTGTATTAAAGGTATGTTGTGGAGTACCGAGTTGACTTTACAGTTTATTGAAGACATGCATTCCCATCGGTGTTTGTGGGATGTATCATTCACAGAATACAGAAATCGGGAATTTAGAAGCCAGACATTGAACGGTTTAACCCAAAAATTCAGTGTTTCCATCGCCAAAATTGTAAAAAAAAAATGCACACTTTAAAATGACAGTTTTTTAATGCACTTCCGATTGGATGCACTACGTACAACGCAAAAAGGAGCAAGGGAAATTCCTGAGAGTTAGTTCCTCTGTCATTTTCGCAGGCACTGATGAATGTGAACTGAATCTTGGTCTGAACACGGTTCTTTGTCGCGGAGCAGAATCATGGCTGCATCGCAACAATGAATCTACGCAGCCCCGACTCTGCCCCGCAACATGAATTGATTCAAATTTCAAAAAAAATCTCAGTGCATACTAGGCTTTAGAAGGGATCACCCGATTAAGGACAGTCTTTGTGAGGTTGACATAGACATTGTTTTTGGGCCAACATCCATATATGTGTACAGCATGTAGAGAAAGGTTGCTCGGTGTGTGTCCCGTTTAATAGGAGGGTGCCATTCTTGGGGGTTCATGTAGGGAATAGGTAGAAATACCACCCGATATGAGAATTGTACTTGAGCACAACTGTGAATATTTGTGTACCCTGGTCTGATTTTCAGAGGAAATAGGACTGTTTTACTGTATACATTTTTTTTAAAAGTCTGAATGTATTTATTAGCATGAATGTGTAGTGTGAGAGGACTGATGGCAGAATATTGAGAACCTCATCAATATCATCAACCCTTAATTAGGCAAATTATATACTACGTGTAGAGGGTGTTGGAGGAATATCAGTTACTCCAGTACCATAACAGATTGAACGGTATGAAAATAAGAAAGAATGAGAGTGAGTTTGGGTCTATTAACTGGGGGCTGAAATGACCTGGCTGTTTGCCTCTGGAGTCCTCGTCATTGGCTGGATGGATAAGACCAAGGTCTGAACCCATACTGCCAACACCCGGGATGGGTGAATCTCAGTCTTTGCCAGTAATTCATAGTAAAATTCAAAAGCTGGAATTACCGGCAAGCTGCAAGAATTGATAAGTTCAACTCTGTACCCGCGTGTATGTATGTGTAGATTTGAGCATATATAAATCAGAAATCAGTAATATCTACGATTTTACCATACACAATTTTTTTATTTTTTTTTTAGTCCATTCATAAACCCTTAACTACAGACTAAAAATAAATTAAATGACAATCATTAATGCATGAAATAATAAATACAATTTAAAACATTTTTAAAACATTATGGTAAGATCTGTGAGGTGATGAACCCTGTAGATCTCTGATCATCGTAGTTGTCTTATGCTCAGTGGTTTTGCCTTTCAGGCATATTATAGAGGGCAGACAGCTTTTTGCCATGCTTAAAATTTACTGTAACTATTTTGTAAACCATTACTTTTGTTAATAATAAATATATCCTTCTTCTACTTAAAAGCATTTATTAAAGTAGTAATTAAAATACTATTACACCTCTATTATTAACAACCAGAAGAAAACCGAATTATGTTAATTGCAATGTTAAGTTTAATCATGAAATTGGCTCAGTAGTTTCTAAACAAATTTATTGACATTCAGTTAAGTTGTTTTGGACCATTTTGGACTTTTGGCCAATACGTTTTGGCCTGTCAGGACCTCTAGATGAAATTCCACTATTTATCAATCTTTTGCCCTTAATTTTTACCCTTGTTTAATTTCAGGGAAAATCAAAACAGGCGAAGAAAAATGAGTCGAAAGCACTGGGGATTGCACATCCGAACAGTCGAAAAGCGACAAAACTGGCGAAACAAGCTGTTAGGTAACAATTAATTTATAACAAATATAACGAACTGTTTGAAAAGTAATATTGCAGGCAGTTGGCGAGGTTGAAGACCAAGAAAGATTTCTCAATAAGGAAGAACATTTTTGGTGAAAAACTCATGTGGTTCAAGGATCATTTGCCGTCAGGCGTCACGGTCATGACAGCAAATTGTTTTGAAAAACTTTTTGATAGGTAATTATGCCCATGTGTTGTTGCAAGTTTCCAAAATGGAACCAGCAAGAAGTACAATAAATTGAAAAACTGCAATGCTCAGGGGGAACTCCTCCAGTTCCTGGTATCCATAATCAATAAAAAAATGTTAGTATTCAATTCTTGTTTGCTCTGCTGATGCCCCATGTTGGCGGTGTGGTTTTTTTTTTTTTTTTAATGGATGTACTTTAACTGTGAGGTTATATGAATCAATTAAAAAAATAAATAAAAAGCATTTGTAAGTATTAAATTCACTAGTTTTCATGGTCCACTTGACCAGTTAATATCATTCAATTAATTAAGGTTTTTAGTTGAGATAAAAAAGTCTGTGTCACAAGCGGGATTCGAACCCACGAACTTCGGCTTGATACGTCGCTACTCTACCATGAGCTATCGTGACTTCGATCCACTCAGGCACTAACTTCCCATCTCAACCCCACCTTTTTGAATATTCCCTCCTTTTTGCCATTTTTCACATGTCGTGTAACCTATTTGATTCTCGGCCACAAATGAAATGGCCACGGAAAGCTTTTATTGAAGTATACTTCATTTTAACTTATTAAATTCACTAGTTTTTGTGGTCCGCTTGACCAGTTAATATCATTCAATTAATTAATCACGAAGTCACAATAGCTTAAGTGGTTGAGTAGCGGCGTATCTAGCCGAAGGTCATGGGTTCGAATCCTACTCGTGACACTGACTTTTTTATCTCAACTAAAAAAACCTTAATTAATTGAATTTATAAGTATGTTGAATCTGAACCCGGGACCTTTACCTTACAGTGATGGGCACCATTGTGGCCACCGACACTTTAGCGTTTTCCTCTTAAAATATTTCAAATGTTTCCAAATGGCTTGAATTGAGTAAGACTGCTTTAAAATAGAAGAAATATTGAAAAATATGTAAAAATTCGGTTCCCTACTTCTCGCTTTGCAGATCTCGCACAGTATTTTTCAATTAAACTTATTTTTAGTTATCTTGCACGGTTTAATGAAGAACTAGAACAGATCGAGATCAAACATTCCATTGGTAATAGAAAAGGAAGGCAGCATGCAAGCAGAGAGGATACAATAAAAATGACAGTTTCAAGGGAAAAGGAAGAATTCGAGACTTGTGGATTAGGTAGGACAAACAACTTCAATACATATTCCTTACATTTTATCTCTGTAAAAATACATTATTGATTGTTCTTTTTTGTTGTAGAAATGGTTGATATTTTAAACCCGAAGCAGTTGGAGATGTTGAAAGAATGGGAAGGAGAAATTGGAAAAATGAACAATTTTGTCATCAAAAGGTTTACAAGAAACTATTTAAAAACTTATAAACCTCTGCCCATTTCTAAAAAGTATTTGCGTCAAAATAGTGAAAATGAAGGAAACATAGAGGATAGCCAAGAAAAAGAGATGGACACAAATAATTGAAAATGTCAAATTTTATGGAATATTTATTGTAAATACTTGCTAATATATTTTTATTAAAGTTTCTTGTTTTACTTGGTTTTTTAGTAAATTTTTCCTTTAATGTGGTACATCAGTCGTACAATATTTTTTCTTACTCTCATCAAATGTCTTATAACTTATCTTAAACTTACAATTTAATGTGTGGTGATTAGTGACCGTTAATCAATAATTATTCAGAAATCCAGACCGCATCTCACGATTTCTGAATACTTATAATTTAATCTAAATAATTATATACTACACTCGACAAATCTAGCTTGTATTGAGAGGGCTGCAAGGTGAAGTTATAGCTTGAAAGATTTTGGATCATCATGATGCGCTTATTATGGTGGTTTTGTTGTCAGAATCACCACCCTCACTGGTTGGACTTTGATCTTATAAAGTAACTTGAATTACAAGCCATTGATGATCAGAGATAAAGCTTTTGGTACATCACCTTGCAGATTTAATCACTTCAATCAATCAGATTCAATCATTTCATTGCAAAGTTTACTTGGTTTCTTAAAAAATTTAAATCCTTCTCATTTTACCAATTTTCAAGAACAAAAAAATAAAACCAGCTGATTTTGCTTTCAACTTTTCTTTCTCTTTACTTTTTACAAAAAAAAATAAGCAGTTGCTGGGTACAAGTCTTATAAAGATAGCAAACATGTCGATCCAGGAGATGATAGAGCGCACAGTAGATAATGAGACTCTTCTGAAGTACTCTAACCCTTTGATGATAATAGATCCGGATGGACAAAAAACCAACCTGAAGGTACCAGTTATATTTTAAGAACAAACCACATGATTATTGATGACTAAATTATTTCAGTTCCCAGGAGAAATAAGGTCAAAACTGTTCCAATGCCAGAAAACAGAAGAGGAAGTAATTGAATTACAGTTGCTGCTGAATTCACTTTTGCCACCAATTGAATGGGAGGAGGAAGGGGCAGTTTGGCAGCTGCAGGTTGTGCGGTAAAACATATCATCGTTTCGCACGTACACAAAGATGTTTTAGGTATCGACAGAGCCTGTTTCAAGATTTGACGTTATTAAATTGAAAGAGACACTCGATCTGTGGCTGAAACAACGGCAGGCTAGATCAAGGGGTATTTGCTCTGTCAGAAGAGAAATATTCATCCAGCTCTTTGGTAATCAGTATTGAAGTTGATGAGTTTTTGTTTGTAAATGAATGTTTTAGATGAAATGATTCGTCAAGAGACGATCATTTGCCCGGAAAGGGGCATGCTGCTGATTAGAATGAGAGATGAGCATCGAATGTCACTTGCATCAGTTCAAGCACTCTACGAGGGCAGTATTTCATATGCTAAAAGTAAAGCTCTTGAGGTATTTTGAGAAGAAAAACTTCAACAATATAAAGAAGTTTTGTTTGAGAAATTTTATTGCCACTCCTTTGGTATTTTTAGGCTGAAGATAGTATTTTACCCTTATTGAAAGAAGTCGAAGAAGCCAGGCAACAGAGGGATAAGATTTTAAATGAAGTGAAAATTATGGAAGATGCTTTGAACCAGGCGACTAAAAGGGGTAAAGAATTGCTGCTCAATGCGAAAAAGAGGCAAGCCGAACAGTTGGAGCTTCTAAACAATACAAATATGCAGTTAAAGGTACGTCGGATTGAAAATATCTGTAAACGTTTTTGTAAAAATCGTCAAATTTTTAGTGCCAGTTAGATGAGCTTTTCTACTCGAAACGATAAAAAATCGACCATTTTATTTGCAGCTGCGAAAAGATGTAATAATACACGTTTTTTTCTCAGTATATGATTCTCTTATTTTATCTATTTAAGCCTCGTAATCTCGGTAAAGCTCATCCCGACCATATTGATGAACCGAATTCATGATAAACTGAAAAATATATATTTTTACAAACAGAAAATCCACAAGTACACGATTAATAGTTACTCTAAGACGTTCATTGAGATCTTCGTAATATTTAAGGTCCTTGTATCCATGGTCTTGATCGATATTCTTCAACAGTGTGATATCCTTCAACAACTCTTCGTAATAAATTGTCCTACATATGACAAAATTTTCAAGCACTAAATTCTCATGCTTGAGAGTGTTGATTTCCTCCATTATTTCTTCAGCGCCAAGCTCGACCTTAAAACATTTAATTTTATAAAAAGAAAAAAAAGAAAATTTCCAAAAGCCTACTAAGTGAAAGATTCTTGACAATTTTGCATCGCATTCTTCGAACAGCTCTTTGTAGACTTCAATCCTTTGTATCACGTCATCTCTTACACGTGCAAGCTGCAAACCCCTTTCTGGACATGCAATTATCTCCTGGCGCACCAGTTCATCTAAAATCTCGGCCGATGTCCATAAATTGTGGAAAATGCAAAATTGTTTTAATGTTACCAAAAACGTCCAAAAACAGGCGATATCGCCCTTCACAGACGCCGGAATTTTTAACTTTGCACTGGCCAATTCGATAATCTACATATTTGGACAAATCTTTTATATCTAGGACATGGGCTGGGTACGGCGAAACCTGAAAATAGAATAACCAGCAGTACAGATTTTACTGTGAAAATACCAAGTCAAATTTTTATCAAAAACAATATTCTTAAAAAATTCACTAGTTTTCGTGGTCCGCTTGACCAATTAATATCTTTCAATTAATTAAGGTTTTTAGTTGAGATAAAAAAAGTCAGTATCAAATTCAGAAGGTGGGGTTGAGATGGGAAGTTAGTGTCCGAGTGGATTGAAGTCACAACAGCCCAAGTGGTAGAGCATCGGTGTATCTAGCCGAAGATCATGGGTTCGAATCCCACTCGTGACACTGACTTTTTTGTCTCAACTAAAAACCATAATTAATTGAAAGATTCTTAAAAATCTAGATCTTATTAGTTACTATGAAAATGATATTGCTGCTTACATTTTTGCACTCAACTGATTAGAAATAAAATAAGAAAGTGTTTTTTACCCCCCCCCCCCCAAAAAAAAAAGTACCAAAATTGATTTTGGGATAAGTAAGAAATTTTTATAAATAACTTATAATTAAGTTAAGTAAAAATTATTGAATTGATTTATTATATTTGGACTATTATTTAATTATAAATTACTTATAATTATGTTATGAGTAATGTATAAGTAAATAATAATAGAAACATGATAAATCAATTCAATCGTTATTCCTAATATTCAAAAGAAAAACCAAATTACATGATCCATTGATGATTAAATGATTATTACGGTTTTAAAATATTGTAGTTATGAAGCTTGATCATCTCCAATCATCCTGGTCTACCTAAACTAACTGGTTTGTTTACCAAAATTTTGCTACACTTGGCCAGTGTAGTACATCAATATTGTCCATTTATTTATTTATTTTTTTTTTTTTGCAATAAAATATTTATTACTATCTGTACTACCCTCGTTGGGTGTCACGAACAAGGAGGACAAACCAGTTTACAAAACATTTTTCATACTATTTTCAATTAAAATCCATGGGCTATTTTGGCATTCGAACCCATCAGCGTGCAAATATAAGTCGGACTTAACCATGGTCCCCATAGATCTAGACCACATGTCCAAATCAGTTTCAGTATTTTTTGTAGTGTCAATTTATGAAGAAATAATTTATATGCAATTAACAAATTAACACACTGATAAAACAACTAAAAATGGCAAAATGCACTAGAACCATGATATAATCGAATTGTAAATGATCAAACTATTATATTATGCAAATGTGGTTAGTTCTATAATAGTACTATTTCATTTTCTTAGTTTTTAAAATTTTAAGTAGCCTCCAAAAAATTAAATGAATGATTTTTTTACCTGTCTTTTATAAAGCTTATTATTTTGAATCCACTCGATAGGTGGGAATACGCCATCTAAAACTTCTTGTATATCAGAGTATCTCTCCTCTTCCAGATCTGGATAGACTACGGGTACATTTACTTCTAAACGTACTGGCTACAAAATTCAAGAAATCTATTTCCCACTCTTAATAAGTATTACGACAGCCTTACTTCAACTTGAGGGCGTTTCTGGTTGCTCGGACCGATTTCGACTGGTTTTAAGAATCTCAAAATCCTTACGACACCTCTACTTAGTCTTTCTGGATCTCCCGCGGCCATTTCAATCTTGTCCCCCCTGTACCTCTGCCTCGGAATCCTCGATCTTTTCCTCCTCTGCTTGTAAATCTTTTCTTTGATGGCACATTTCAAAAAAGAGTGTATATTTTCAGGTACGACATTCTTATCCTTAAAAGGATTGTAGACTTCGGGGTCGTGGAGTAGTTTATAAACTTCCTCCTGAACAAATCAAAACGTCTTTTCTTCTAGAAGAATCCTTATTATTATAATTATTTTAGTAGCTTTACCTTGTAAAATGGGTCCCTCTTAGGTACACAATTTTGGGTACAGGTACACTCATTGATAACATTCTTTTTTGGTTTTGTACACAGTAATTTCTGTGAGCTGTCATTGAGACAATCCAATTTTCTTGATGTCATTGAAGGAATATCGGGAGAAATAGTAGAAGTCATTGTCCAGAATTTATTCAGACTTTCTTGTTTTTTGTTTTTTTAAATCAAATTTTGAAAAAGAACTAACAAAAAACTTGCTACACTTAAGAAATATATCAATAAAAAATACAATTGGATAAAAAAAACAATGTTTTTTGCTCATGTGTTTAATAAATAAGGTTTCAATAAAAATGTTTTATAAACAATCAAACAGATAGACAATGTACCATGAGAAACTCACAAAACAATTAATGAAAATTTTGGTAACTTTAACAAGTTGTGAATATAATGACTAGAAACAAAGTTACAATAATTTTGAATTATTACATAAAACCAATATGACATTGATTAAAATTGTCCTTTACAAAATCTATAAGAGGAATGAATGTTATCACATTGGTTGTATATTCGACCTCGCTACTTTCATAGTGATGACTTTTTTTGTCTCAAGTGCACCCCATAATTCATCATTGATTATTCGATATGTACTCCCCGGATAGTCCACGTCTGGAACACTTAGCCGTTTTTTGTCAAAGTAGTTAATAAGACAGCTGGCAGGTATCCATATAAGCGCTGTGACGATAATAACGGCTCCGACGACATTGTCCCTGAGTATGAGCAGTACTTTATTTATATTTATGTCTTCTATTATATCCCAGAATCTTTCTACAACATCTTGAACAGTCTTCTCACAGATGCCCTGTTTAAGAAGTAAAAAAATTAAAATCAAACATACTAAGGTAAATTTTTTAAAATTTAATATAAAAATAATTAATATAAATTATTTAATATAATTTATATTAATGTAAATTAATATAAAAAAATTTACCTTATTACAAAACCCGTGTATGCATGGTGTTCCATCCGGCAGAATGTCGTGTGGTGTAACGGTAAAGCACGTCTCGTTTAAGTTCATCCTACAACACCTCTTGCACGCCTCGCCGACTGTAATGTGTTTATATATTAAAATAAAATAAATTGACTAGTTTGAATAAATAAAAGTTTCCTACTTGTATCGCACATGCAGCTCTGAAGACCCTGCGTTTCACAGTAAGGTATGCATTTGCCCAGCCTGCACTTCCCTCTCTCAAGGCATTCCGTGCCGTCGGTCATCGCTGCCGATTTAGGACACTCCGACGCAACGCCTGAACAACGGGACTCTTGCTCGCACGTTGAATATTGGGCGTCTCTGCATTTGATGCCGGCATGCATGAAGTGACAGTTTTGACAGCAAGGAGAATTTTTATCACTAAAATGAGATAAATAAATGTGAAAATAATATTAGCAACAAAATTCTACATATTCACTAATTTCGTGGTCCGCTTGACCAATTAAATCATTACAATTAATTAAGGTTTTTATTTGAGATGAAAAAAAGTTAATGGCACGAGCGGAATTCGAACCCATGATCTTCGGCTGGATACGCCGCTCTACCACTTGAGCCATCGTGACCTTGATCCACTCGGACATCAACTTCCTATCTCAACCCACCTTATGAGTCCTTCCCTCCTTTTTGCCATTTTTCAAATGTCGTGTAATCGGTTTGGATTCTCGACGACAATTGAAATGGCCAAGGAATTGTCGTCGAGAATCCTAACCGATTACACGACATTTGAAAAATGGCAAAAAGGAGGGAAAACTCATAAGGTGGGGTTGAGATAGGAAGTTGATGTCCGAGTGGATCGAGGTCACGATAGCTCAAGTGGTAGAGCAGCGGTGTATCTAGCTGAAGATCGTGGGTTCGAATCCCGCTCGTGCCATTAACTTTTTTTCATCTCAACTAAAAACCTTAATTAATTGTAATTCTACATATTGTTAATATTTTACTACCTACAATTTATTTTTTATGGCCACTATATCAACTTGAAATAAATAAACTGAGAAAATTCACAATGACTCAATACAATATTTGTCTGCACAGATGCCAAGTCAATCTAAATTTTTGTACAATCAAATTACTTTTGAAAATTCCTGGGAATTGAACCCAGGTCCTATGTGGTGAAAATATGAGTCAGATTTAACCCGCAATGATTGGTCGTGAAATGCCACTTTTAACCATTAGCTTAAGCTTCATTAATTAAGTAAAGGTGTAGTAGTAGCTGTGAAACTTCAGCGAGACAGTATAAGGGGTTAATGTAACCAATTCCGTAGGAGTACTCCTACTGAAAAAGGTTCCGGACTGCAATACTTGCATTGTTACTACTGGACCTACAAGTAATTTCTTGGCATAATCTGATTCAAGGACACTACTTTGGCTATGGTATTTCTGTCAAATAATACTGGTCCTAAGAGTAAAATCTCAGTGTGACTAGAGTCTACGAACTTAGAACTGAGCAAAAGTATAAGCTAGGGATAACTAGCTTGTAGCTGGCCAAGCATTCATAGCGATGTCACTTGATCCTTTCATTCTATCTTTCCTAAACATAATTTGCCAAGAATTTTTCATCCACCAATGCCAAACATGATCCGGTGATTTGTCATACTGTAATTATACTTAACACGAGAGAAACTACAGTTTTGGTCAGTTGGTAAGCTGAACATCACCAAAACTGAATCCCTTGGCATGCGAACAATGATTCATTGTGAAGCTCAAAGAAATAGGATTTTTTTTTTTTTTTAATTGGCCTTATGATCTTGCATATTAGCCATGGTACGAATTCTTGTGTGTTCAAATTGGGGGTTATCGGGAAAAAAGGGCCAGAGGCGATGGTGGGAATCGAACCCACGACCGCGGCGTGAGAGTCTCTCATGCTAACCACTCGGCTACCGCGGTCCCCAAATAGGAAAATATAGGATTTTATAATCCTATAGCTATAGGTAGCCTGGTGCAAGGGTCATCACAAGTGTGTACCCATGTTTGAGAATATGCAGTTATATCTAGTCACAGTGATTTTTCATACAGAATCCACTGGGTTCAATGTTCAGACTATAAATTGTGCTTAGATGACTATAACTATCAATATAAGATTTATTAAGTTATACAGGAGGGCTTAATGTCCAACAACCCATTGAGTGTCATGGATGAGGGGTCAAACCACTTTCCAACACTTCTTTCAAACATTTTCAATTAAATTCTAGTTGATATTGATCGACCTCCGTAGTTTAAACTGATGTATTGGATCTTCTTGAGGTCATTTTACAGGTGAATAAAAAACATCACTATTGGGTTTCACCAAGCTTTCGGCGAATGTTCCGCCATCTTCAGGGCTTTACCCAGTTTTTTAAGACAATTAAATTTATTGCACATGTTTGTTGTTTTGTTTTTGTGTGTCTCAATTTTCTTCAAGTTCCTTGTACATAATTAAATTATAATTCTAAGTTAAAAAACAGTTTAAAAGTTGTATATACATATAACGTATCTGTGATAAAGAAATACATGTACCTGAGATTGAGTATTAACTTATGAAAGAGTATGTAGATTCATTTCCACCTTCAATTAAAAAAAAAAAAGTGCAATAAATTTAATTGTCTTAAAAAACTGGGTAAAGCCCTGAAGATGGCGGAACATTCGCCGAAAGCTTGGTGAAACCCAATAGTGATGTTTTTTATTCACCTGTAAAATGACCTCAAGAAGATCCAATACATCAATTTTCAATTAAAAGTCAGGATTTGAACCCAGGACTGATGTCGTGGCAAGTATGATTAGCATGCCCTAACCATGATCCCGTAAGTTTATTTTTTATCGCTATAAGTGTTATGAATTTATGGGAGAAAAATATATTAATGTACCTGCATACTGCCCCTTGGCGAAGTTTGCACACTTTATCACAGCAAGCATCATTGTCTTCTGTTCCCAAGAGGCCAGCATCACATTCTTCATCACCCTGATAACAAAATATTGAAAATTAAGATTTCAATGAAACTAATTTCTTATTATTAATATAAAAATATTGCAAAAAGAGGGAAAATTAGAAAGGTTGTAGGTTGAGATGAGGAGTTGGTGTCCGAGAGGATTGAAGTCATGACAGCACAAGTAGTTAGAGGGGCGGTATATTAAGCCAAAGGTCGTGGGTTCAAATCTTGTTCATGCCACTAGCTTTTCCACCTCAACCCAGACTTTCGATTAAAAGTATAATTAATTGAAATTATTAATAAACTTACTTCTACTCTTAGGTTTCCACAGAATGATTCTTCTGGCTCTGAGAAGCATCTGCCAGACTTGGCTTGCAGAACTTTTCTTATGGAACGAAGGCTGCAGGGTGAAAATCTCTGTGGAATTGGAAAGTAAAATCAGTTAGGTTTATAAGTTTGAATTTGTAAGGAATAACATGACTCACTTTATTATTCACATCGTAACCGCTCACGCTGTATGTATACATCAAATATGAGCCTCCCTGGCTAGCACTTGGGCTACACTCTGCTAAATCCGGGTCATGTTCTGAACCCCAATTGTGCCCAAATTCATGAGCTGTTACCAAATCGGCCTCACGAGTTATGACCCGTTGACCGTAATGGTTTCTGGACGAGCTTAACCCAGAGTTAAGGTACAAGGTATAACCATTTTTGAAATACTCTGTAAAAATATTGCAATTAATTTATTATAATCAGATTAAACACAGCGAAATGGGCTAATACGTGCAAAGCAGGATCATTGGTCATGCAGGACGAGAATAAAAACAAAAGATAAAAATTATTTAGAACAAAATTGTGTAATTCTGACAACATAAACAAATAAATAATGCTCTGTCTACAAAATGGAAAAAAAACAAAATATTCCAATTCTGTTTATGAACCTGGTGTACATATTCCACCGACTGAATTACGCCGTGGAGAACCGACGTAGGCAAGCCCAAGTATACCACCTTCAAATTTTAAATCAGTGAAGAGGTGGGCGAGACAGAAATCTTTGTGGGAGTACTCTCGGCTAAAGACCTGACCAGAACACAAATGTCAATATTTTTACACCGAGAGGCAAAAATATGTCTCATTCTTTCATAATGAGTAGACAGCAGACATTAAGACAACAGACAAAAAAATTCAATAAATAATGTAAGCCAATATTTTTATTATTTACAATAAAAGTTGATATGTTAACAATCTATTAAAGACCACTTTTACTATGGACCCAGTTGCATCTTGATTTTGTTAATATTCAGGAATTATTTGTAAAATATGTTAAAGGCATGTTGGAAAAGCTATTGATATAATAATAATACAGTTAACAATACAGTTTATGTTTATTTATAAAGCGACCACCACCGAAAATTGCAAAGAATTATAACTGTGATATTTTTAACCCTTTGTGCAGATTCCGCCGACGGACTTTAGGTTTGGCGAAGCTATGTAGGCCATACCGAGTACCAGACTTGAATCGAAAGTTTGATGAGTGAAGAGATGGGACATACAATAGGCTTTTGTTATGTTTTGCCTTGAAAACACCTAAAAAAAATTTAATTTTTGTATTTTATGGATGTCGAAGCTGAATTGGGAAGACTGTTGTTTTACTGTCTTATTTGAACTCCAAGTTTTTTAAATATTAAATATTCGTTATCATGAAAAATAAAACATTCATTTGGTTTCACTTTACCTCTTTATATTCAGCCTAGCATTTTGTAAGGCCTTACAATAAACATTTAAAATTGTATCTTTGTCTATTTTGAATATTGTGAATTTTCATTAACACGTAAAAGCAAAAAACAGGAATCTTTAAACATCTTTTTACACAAATTCTTGCTTGATACACAACTGTTTATTAATCATAAATATTTGCAAAACATTGGGAGTGGGATCTGCAAGTATAACCTATAACTATTTAATTTGGTGCTTTCTGATATCGTCCTGCCTATTCTCACTGCTATTGTCTGTTAACCTAAACTTTTAGCCATCTCCAATAATTAAGTAGCTACTACCACTAATGAAGAAATACTTCTTGTTGTAGCAAAACTGGTTGTAGCAATTTTAACTGCAAATGTAGTAGTTATTGTATCAACAATAATAGCAGCAGCAGCAGTTGTAGAAGTTATTTTTGTTGTTATTAACTCTTAAATCATTCATGTATATTTTTAACATCTATATTATCATATAGCCAAAGAAAAGCTGCACAAATAAACACTACCACTGTCACTATCTACAACAAGAAATGAAGACATGTTGTTATACCAAAAGTTGTTGTAGTATTTTTTTTATAGCAAAAGTAGTTTTAGTAGTAGCAACAAATATAGTAGTTGTTATTGTTGTAGCAACAATAGTTGTAATATTGTTTTTGTTGAAGAAAAAAAAATGTAGTATTTGTTAGTTGTTGTAGCACAAGTAATAGCAACAAAATAGTAGTTGTTATTGTTGTAGCAACAATAGTTGTAATATTGTTTTTGTTGAAAAAAGATGTAGTATTTGTTAGTTGTTGTAGCACAAGTAGAAGCAACAAAATAGTAGTTGTTATTGTTGTAGCAATAATAGTTGCAATATTGTTGTTGTTGAAAAAAAGATGTAGTATTTGTTAGTTGTTGTAGCACCAGTAGTAGCAACAAATATAGTAGTTGTTATTGTTGTAGCAACAATAGTTGTAATATTGTTTTTGTTGAAAAAAAAGAAGTAGTATTTGTTAGTTGTTGTAGCACAAGTAGTAGCAACAAAATAGTAGTTGTTATTGTTGTAGCAACACTAGTTGTAATATTGTTTTTGTTGAAAAAAAGATGTAGTATTTCTTAGTTGTTGTAGCACAAGTAGTAGTAGTTTTGTCATAGCAAAACTAGTTGTAATAGAAGTAGATATGTATTTGCTGTAGCAACAGACCAACCACCAATGTGAGTTAACTATGGAAATGCAACCGACAGACAAAAACAATGAGAATAGGCTAGCCAGAATGATCAGGGGCGATCAAGCTAGATCATCAATTTTGTTTGGATTTGGTATATACTAGAACATTTAAACTTTAAAATCTGATCACATAATCAGAAGAAAAAATACACACTTGAAAGAGTTTACAATGCAGAGAATTCAGATTATTTTAATTATTCAGAAATCGTGAGATGCGGTCTGGTGTGATGTAGGTTTCAGAAAAATATTTTCTTTATCGTGCCAACGTTTCGATCTTTATTGAGATCGTCTTCAGGGCTCAAAGGTTTGTCTTCTGTGTAATTGTACCATTCTTGTGTGTCTGTTGAGAGTGCCAACACTTGGTGGAGAGTGGCGCTCTCAACACGACACGCAAGAATGGCACAATTACACAGAAGACAAACACTTTGAGCCCTGATGATGATCTCAATAAAGATCGAAACGTTGGCACGATAAAGAAAATGTTTTTCTGAAACCTAAATCTCACCAGACCGCATCTCACGATTTCTGAATAATTATCGATTCACGGTCACTAATCACCACACATATTTTAATGTTAATGTGTCAAAAAATTCAAACCAAAAGATAGATATCCTATATTAAAAAGAATATTTCTACAATAATTCTGTGTTTATCAATACTTCTAATAAAAGGTTTTCTTCAACCAAAGTTTCAATGCAAAGGAAAGAAAATGTAGAACTGGCATGGGTTATTTAATGGTCTATCTACACTTGCGGGTCAATTGAATTACTCAAACGGTTTTGGCATTGCACCATCTTCAATGAGTTATCAATTTTAAAATAATTGTACCAATATCAATTTTAAAGAAATTGTAACTATTTAATTCAGGATGTATCTATTATATGTAATTTCTAGCAAAGACCTGTTGGTTTCATACAGCATAAAACAGTTTCAAAATAAATAATTATTTTACAATTTAACAATATTATAAATAGTTCGAGTGATGTTTTACTTTATTCCATTATCTTTGTATATATTTTAGTTATAATTTGTAAAAATGTTTCTTTAATCACCTCCAATAGATTCCGCACATCCCATTTTTCTCTGATCATGTTATAATGAGCTTCACCTCCTCTCACTCTTGTCGGCTCTGAATGAACGACTATCTTTTTAATGACGAACCCCATTCCTTTAAAGCCCTCGCTCTCACCCCTGTCCTGCCATATTGTATCATTGTAAATTTTGTGCACTCTGTCAATGAGGCTTATCTAAAAAATAAATAAAAAATTAATAATAATCTAACTACTTAAATAAGCTTTATATATAAATGTAATGTTTAATTACAAGATAATTAATTGTGGTTTTTGTGTTACCACCTCCCATTTCTTGGTAAAATCTGTAATCGGCGACTAGCAACAAAGGGCATCTAGTTTTAGTAGGAGTGTACTCGTATTGGTCTGTTTGTCGTTTCGCTCTCGTCTTCGGCCCATCTTCATTTTCTTCATCTTCTTCAAAATCTAAAGAGGAAATAATTAACACCTTAAATCATACAAAATTAAATATGAAAAATCAACCTTCATCATTTCCTTCTTTGACATGAGCACAAGGGCTGAAACCGGAATCATGCCAGCTTAGCTTTATGTCGGATTCTCTATATGCCAGCATCGTCTCATTACCAAGCTCTGGCAAATGCCTCCAAGAGGGCTGAAAATAGTTGTAACATAATTTTTTTTAAATCAATAAATATGTAATTGTCAAGTACCTCAATGTGATAGGTCTCATCAGGAAGATGAATTGCAGCAGTCATAATGCCATTTTCCAGGTGAACACTGGCTTCTGATTGATTCTCGCCAAAGAGTCTTCCCTCATAAAAGTTTTCATGATCTGAAAAATGTAAATCACTAGATATGCGGTAAATATTAACTGTTTAGCTTTTGCAGACAATTTTTGTCATCATTGTCAAAAATTGTTAATTAGTACCTCGTACTCCATCTGATACATGGGGTCCACAGGGCTTTTAAAAAGGGAGTAGATGAAAGGAACGGACTGTAGGAAGGCCGACACTAGGGTGGGGGATTTCTTTTTTTTGGTAAAAGGTTGAGGTCAGAACTTTTTTCAGTGAGTGTAACTATTTTATTAAATATAGGACTTTCTTGACAAAAAAGTTTGATAAGGAAGTTGAACGCTAATTTTTTGCGCCGCATTTCTAGAGGGGGCTCACAAGCTTCGGCTTCTAACGCAACTATGGGGGTGCTTGGTAGACCTCCAAGAATTCGCCTTATACATGCATTCCGAAGTGTATCAATTTTCTTTAACAGCGATTGGGAAGCTGATCCATAAAAAAAGCACCATAGTCGAATACGGATCGTATTGAGGATTTGTAATGCAATTGAAAATTTTAGAACTTGTAAATAAATTTAATCCAATATTTTGTTGCCAACTTCCATGTAATTTTGTAATTCCGTCATCCCAGAACTTCTCAGATTTTTGAACAATCAACTCCTCGATGAGTTTTCTGCAGACCTTAAGTAGCATTTTCCCCATAAATAGAGTTTAGCTGAACCCATAATGTGATAATCTGAAGAGGAAATGTCAGATGAGTACGTCGATGAGGTAGCACTTCTCAGCCAAGGTCCAGTAATTTATGAATTATGCAAAGATATGTAAGGACGAGTATTATCCTGGTGATTCTCAAGTCTGCCGGCAATTTACTGTTAATAGCAAAAGCTGGAATTGCCGGTAGACTACAAGAAGCCAATAGGGTCAACTTGGCATGTGTGTGTATGTACACACTCATATACATCCAAATCATTATGTTTCACGCATTACCTTTTCTTAAATTATCCTACTATTTTCCAATAATGTACTACTAACATATCACAAAAATTAATTTCAAGTCCATACCTACTGCAATGGGTTTTTCCTTGCCGTCACCGTCAACAGAGTACGCTTGGAATTTGGAATGAAGTACACCTCGCCGTGGTGTAAGGATAAGTCGAAAATTCCTAAATAGTACAGACAAAGTTAAGAAAAGATTTAAAAATTAATTTTACAGAATCAACATACCTTCCGAGTGTTTTGAAATTGACTTCTTTTATTTTATTATAAGGGTGTGAACTGTCTTGAAGTCCTCTTTTTACTATGTTGTGCGTCAGCTCGGAAGCGTGGATTGTATTGAAGTGTTTTAAATTCTTGTGTATGGAACCTGGAAGGCTGGAAGTCAATATCGAACAATTCACAACGGGACAAATATATTTACCGCATACGAAACCCGTGCTGAACAGCAGTGCAAAAAATGACATGTGCTTTTTGAACATGTTGTATGTTATTTTAAAAACGACTACGATGGAAGCAATACAACCAGAACCTCATCGTACCAAGTTGACAGCAACTTCCCGTTCCCAACTACTTTCCAACTCCAACAGATTGATATCATATCATGCATTCAACAAAAATCCAGGCGCTTAAAGCGCTAGCGTAGCTGTGAGTCAGGGTCCAATATATTGAAAGCTAGGATTGCTTGGTAGTTGGTACAAAATGAAATTGCCTTACAAAAATTCCAAATCTACCAATATCGACTGTATACTGATATTTTTGATTAGAATTGTTTACTTTTGCTATATCTTACTCTCAAGCTAACAGATAAAAAAACACTGACTCATCTGTGGGATCATTAAAAAAAAATTAGATAAACTTCCTGAAAAATCCTTAAATAAAACTTTGTGGAAATCGTTTTAAAATTTTATTTTACATTTGCTACATTAATTATTACAATTATGTTAGAAGTCTTTTAATTTATAAAAAAATATATTCTAAATGTATTTGATAACCTGGTGCTCTAATGACAAACTTGCTCAACTTCATTAAAGGATCTTGGCGTACTTTTTGATCAAAAGCTCAAGTTTAAAGAACATATTTCTTCAATAAAAAATAGATCTATGAAGATGCTAGGTTTCTTCATCCGGAACACCTATGAATTTAAAAATCCTCTATGTTTTGTCCATCTTTATAAACCTTTTGTACAACCCATACTAGAATATGCTACACCTGTTTGGAACCCATTCTATCTAAATTATCAAAAAATTCTTCAATCTGTACAAAACAAATTTTTAAAAAAACTTTCAACTCAATCTTCCTCCGAACTCTGCCTACCCTGGAATCTGCTCTGAATTTAAACTTTCCAAACTGGCACTAAGAAGGGATTAGTTTTATATTGTTTTTGCATTTAAATTATTAAACAATCTCATTGATAGACCTTCTCTCCTCTCTCAGCTACAGCTACCCGTCCATTCGCTCTCTTTCAAAACACACAAACTATTTTATATTGAATTCCAAAGCTCTAACTACATGCTTTCTTCTCCTCTACACAGAATGATGATTAATAACATCTGCAATAGCATTGTCTTCTTCAATAGTTCTGTGCAATCTGTGAAAAACCATATCCTACAACCCTACTTTAGTTGAATTTTCTTCCCAGTTTATATTTTTTTAAATGCTTTTATATTTCATGCTGTTAAAAATTTATTACAATTTATATCATTTACTGGTTCACCTAACATTCACTCTAGTCTTATTATATATCTACAATGACCATTATTTTCATTAAATATGTACCTAAATATTGTATTTCCAATTGTCTTTCAGCTTTATTTTGTTTACTTTGCCTTTATTTGCTTAATAATTATGTCTTTCATTTTTATTGTTGTTCAGTTTTTACTCTTTAATTGTATTTTTATATTTAACATTTATAATATTACCATGTATATATGTCCTTATTCTCTTTATATATATTATTTTTATTTTTGCATATATTATTTTTATTTTTTGTTATTGTAAAATGTTTTTTTATAGTGGATTTCAATCTGTAAATAAACAAATAAAATTTAAAAAAACCTTTAAAGTTTTCTAATAGTATTCCTATGCAAATAACATAGAAAATTTAATTCAAATAAATTCTAAAGTATTTTGGAATTTTGTTTAATGATTAAAGGAAGACTAATAGTTTTCCAGGAAACCCACATCTCTGCATTGTTAATATTTATTTATTTACGGATTATTAATCCTTTAACATACAATTTATATAAACCAATATAAAACGTAACATAAGCCATGAACAAAAAATATATAAAAATATAAAAAAATTGAAAAACAACATAACTGTGCAAAGTACAAACCAAATTACAGGCTTATAAGCAAAATATAAAATATAAATATACTTCTCAAAAAGATTAACAGGTAAAATAAAATATTTATTTTTTAATTGTGATGTTTGTATCAGTGGTGATGGGATTATCGGTTGATGGTTGTTCGATTTAATTTTAAATTTTTTTCAAGGCTGTCACTTGATATCTAAGTGTCCTCTTTTTTTATTGTTTTATTTATTGTTATCAATTGGTAAATGTTCCATGTTATTTTTCTACTCCATTGGTTGCTACCATGAGGGAAACTCAGTCGTCGGGAGGTACCTGCATTGCTTTTTATACAGCGAAAAATCTTTGGTTGACCCCATCTATTATATTTAATCTTTTTCTAAACACAGACACTTATCGCAGTGGAAATTTGCTTTCATTACCGGTACGCCTCGAGAATCCCCCACACTGAGTGTTGGCATTCTGGTGGAAAGCCTCAGTCTTATCCGTCCATCTCCAGGATTGGGCAGGATGCATGATATATACTATAGTCAGACCTATCTTTGAATTCACTTCTGTAGTTTGGTCACCACAGTATAAATACAGAAATTATAGTAAAAGAATATGCTTATTTTTTTAAATTTATTTATTTATTTTTTTTGCTGGGGCTTCCAACATCTAGGTCATTTCAGCCCCCACTAAGTCTATATTCTATATTCTATACCCGTTCAAACACAATATTCATACAAATAAATACATTCATACACTTAAATACATCCATACAGTACACTCATTCTGTTTGGTCGGTGGAGTACTTGATATTCCTCCACCGACCTACACTTAAACTAAACTAGATTGGGGTCGATGGGGTACTTTTATAAATATTCCGCCATCGACCCCGAACAAACACTCACTCGCTTTCATCGTTCGAGGGGCGATGATGACGTTATATTCACCCTCACCCTTCGCCATTCACGCTAATAAGTACATGCACACAGACAAAACATATAGACACATAACACATAAGACATACTACATACAATAAAAAAACCCAATTTCCCCTAAAAAGCAGAACAGGGGACTCTGAAACTCACTACCGTGCTCGAGGACTCTTCTTAAATCCGGCGGCATGCCTACACGCTCTCTGTATGGAGCCAAGGCATGACACGCCTCTATTATGTGGGACACATCAAGCAACCTTTCTCTGCATAAGGAGCACCTGCACGGGCTTTGGCCCAAAAGCAGGTGCCCATGTGTCAACCGAGTATGGCCAATCCTCAGTCGCGTGAGGATGATCCCTCGCCTCCTGCTCAGATTCTCTGAGGGCCATCTACCGGTCGTGCTCTTGACTCGCAAGAGCCTCTCCGACGACCCCGCCCACTGACGCTGCCATCTTTCTTTTATCATATATAAGTGACGATAGTTTGTAGAAATCATGTTTTCTTTCATCAATATGCTTATTATTATTTATTACATATTATTCATGACATCATACTTATTCTATAATATCTCTGGAGTGTCTGTTAAAAACTATGGTTGTTCTATGGTACCCCATATCATTCATAGGTCAAGAGAGTAACGAATAAGCAGATGCTTATGGGAGGATGTCCTAACCTCCAAAAACCGACAAATACTACAGCCAAACAACAGATATATTTGATGACCTAGCCACCCATGTTTTCTTTGAAAGTGAAGTGACTGCTCAATAAAGATATAACCTAGGCAAGAAGATCCAGGGAAAAGAATTGCAGCAGAAACAGTTAGTGAAAGAAAATTCTAAAAAGAAGGATTGAGTCAATGAAACTGAACTAAAGAAGTAGGAAAAGTTCAATGGCTGCTTGGAATACCAAACCCTCTGCTCCTTAGTACTTTTCTCATCATCATCACAATAATTCTAGCAAAACTTTCAACAAATGAATGTTATAATAAAAACATCTAAATCTAAATTTTAAATTTTCAGGACAAGAGTTTCTTAATGATATTTTTTTTTTACCTAGTACCAAGCATTGATCAAAATTGTTATGCACATGTGCCCAAACTGAAAAGAAAAGTTATATTGGGATATATATAAATAATACAGCTTGTATTCAATAATTTTATTAACCTTGTGTAAAATAGTATCTGAATCATATTATGTATTTTGTGGTTGTACAACTGACAGTAACTGTTGCAACTACCTCAAATTATCATTATTATTTTTTTAATGTGTGTACTTTCTTTTTCTTATTTTCTTTTGTAATCTGTTTTAACAAAAAAGTTAAGAAAATGATAAACAAAATCAATTTATAAAAATATTAATTGGAACAGAAGTACAATGCTAAATGAAATATTTCTTATAAATGTAGTAGAAAATATAACAATAAAAAATCTTGGAGCACTTAAGATTTTACAATTCTCTTTGTCATTTAATTGAGAGACAGTTATTATAACATTGAATTTATGTACACATAACATTTTTTTAAAATACAAATCGTGTTATTACAGATTTGTTTAGAGTGAGGAGTCATTGGACCTGATCCCATAACAAAATGTAGGCTTTATTATCTATGATACACACAATATATTTAATATGTTTAACTTTCATTGGAAAAGTGATTTATTATTATTAACTAATTGCAGAGTGAGCATTTTCATACAATAATTTATTATACTTTACATTATTATACTTTCATAAGTGTTTATTTACGTGTATATCTTTCACCCGTCTCAACCATAATAATTTTAATAATAATTATAATTTATTTTTTATTTTTATATCTTTTTTGTATAAAACATACAACATATGTAACAATTTCCTATGTCAGTGTTATTTGTATTTTATTATTTTATTGAATTATTTCCATTTTGGTTTTTTCCCCTTTTCTCCTCAATGGAAGAAGAGATGAAGCCGATTTGTGCATTATTCAGGGCGATATATAGTTTTTTGTTTTTTTAAAATCTTATAGTACAAAATATTTACACTTCACACAATGGGTATTGCCTGATAAACACACTTCACACAAACCTTCATGACATCTTAAATTTTATTTATGAAACTTATAGTAAGATGGAATTGGAAAGAAGAAATAAGAAAGTACATATCAGAGAATAGTAATTTCAAGAAAATATTTTTATGAAAAAGAACATTTTCATGAGAAGATACAGATCGTCAAGCAATTAGATGCTCAAATTTTAAAATATCAATTCCAAGTGTTTAAAATTTACTATCTTCTTTCTTTCAACTTTTATTGTTTGAATTACTTTATAATAATTACATATTTGTTCGTATAACTTCTTTTTTATGAAGGTAAAATATGCAATTAAAAATCTTATAAAGTCAAAAAAATTGTCTTCAGGTGAATATTATCTTAGTAATTACAGATATTAGTTGTTTTTTTAAATGAAGCTTTGGAAGTTCTACATATTTGACATAAAGTTCAATATTTTATACTAATGAAATGAAAATGTATTATGAATGGATAGTCTCTTTTTGACAACACAAAATAAACGAATTTCAATGAATAAAACGTACAATTTTCTTGTCATCAATGGTAATGAGGGTCTCTTTTCTATCAGGCAGTGTATATCTAGTTTGGATTGTCAGTATTAAATGTTATATATAATATTGATAATATTTTTATTTAAAAAAAAATAAAATAGCATGGTTTAGTTCGAAATTATGAGGAAAATTGAGGTAAAGGTTGTTTGCGTTCCAATTTAAGATTAGATGTTTAGAACAATGCGCAAAATTAGAAAATTAGTTTTTTTAAGAACAAAATCCAGAATCTTTGAGCACTTATGAAGGAATGAAGATTACAATAGACATTATAACAAATAGCTATGAAGAATTTTTTTGTGATTAACCCTGTTTCTGTCTCATTAAATTTATAATTACATTATTACAAATTTCAAAACAATCAACAAAAGAAATGGAACAAAGCACAATATACACTTTATACAAACATTTTCCCAACAAACAATCCCCGTTTAATTTCACCCGTTAAATTACTCGACTAACAAACCAAAACAGAAATAATTAATAAAATAAATATCTTATTAATAATCTTTAATCATGGTGTAATATTACTTTATTTTTCAGGATGGAAATAAACACTGACTGTTTTTATTTTACAGCTTGTTTCGAATTATACAAGACTTTTTTCCTAACAAGTAATGCCAACGCTCTAATACAATCCAATTTATATTTTGTTATAACCCTATATAAAAAAAATGCACAAATGTTTTTTTAAATATTTTTTTAATAAGTAACTTTTTAAAATAATATAAACAAATTTTCTCTTTGCTACGTAACTCTGTCAAAAATGGGCACTTAATAGTAATGTTTTTCTTTTTCTTAAGTATTTTCTCTAAAATAATAGAATGCCTTAAGCAACCCAAAAAATAAATGAAAAAAAAGAGATTATATACTATTAACAAATCTCTCTATACACGCTTTGAGCCAAATATTGCGGAAGATCATGATCTTATGTTCTAGAATAGTTGCAGCATAAACGATGCTTCTGTTTAAATATAAGATTGCATGATAATGGAAAATTGAGTGTGTGACATTGTTTTTTTTTCTTTCTCTCTCTTCTCTGTATTATTATCTTTTTCTCTTCATCATATTTATACTTAAAAATACTACATATAATACACAACCAATCGATATTGTTGCATCCCCCCCTACTACTACTTCCGCCGTAATTCATGATAATAAAATGTTTAATATGTATGATAACAATGCAAACATCTTTAATCTATAATTTAACTTATATAAAATTTCTTTTATAGATTAAAAATGTTCAAACTTAATTTTTTTTTTTTTTTAAATGCATTTATTAGATATTTCTGTAGTCAACTCAAATTTTTCCATAATTTTTTCTTGTTCTTGTACATATCGATATAAACAAAAATATAAATAGTTTTCTAATAACAAGACACACACACACACACTTGACAACATATCTGTGATAGGAGTAGGTTCAGTAACTATATTATTTTTGATACTAAAGGTTATATAAATAGTACTAATATTTTTTAAAATAAATATTAAACTAAAATATATTTGTGACCTTTATGGCTAATGTGCGAAAAATGTTTTGATTATTTTCAGCAATAAAAGGATGCCTTGTGCTTGGATAACTATAATTGTTTAATTAGTTGTAGGTAAGCTTTGTTTTTTTATTTATTAAAACCTAATTCAAAAAAATATCTAAACTCTAATTATATATTTTTGTTAATTTGGCAACATTCTTTTATTATTTTCTTTTTTAATTATTTTTATAAAGATAAAGAACGCATATGTAATATAACATTTAAATTGATGAAACCCTTTACCTTAGTTCACTCTTGATGCGCGTGAATTTTTGTTTAACCAAAAGTGGAAGTTAAAAATAAACTAATTAATAATTATTTATATATTGACTTGGTTTTGTTATCAAATAATTACAAACTAGAGTAAAAATTTTCATTTTAAAAGATTTTTTTTTCATTGAACTGAAAAGGACAAAATAATCCTTAAATAAGTATAAATTAAATATGATTATGAACAAAGAAAACACTAAATACACATACAACAAAATGCTTATTTCCATTTTTAAGTTTTATATCATATATAATATATATATTTTTTAGAATCTATCAGTACTAAAGAAACATTTTTGTTAACAATGATTGAGATTATAATATTTAATTATTTTTTAATATAGATATATTTTTTTTCAATATTTTCCCCTCATTATTTACAGTAGAATAAGTATACTCAATACGTGTAACTTTTGTTAAAAAAAAATTATTTACTCTTAATAAAAAAATATTTGCTGCAAAAATGTAAGCAATCGTTGTTACAACTTAGGCTCGACTCATTGAGTCGTTCAAAAAACTACACAATAATTGTTATCTATTCTGTTCATCAGTAATACTCATCATGTGTGCCAGGTTTAGAAATGGTTTGGATGGTTTTTGTTAACTTCAAATGGATAAAAGAACGTTTTTTTTTTAGATAAATGTGTCAATTAGAAACTCAAGTCAACTTTAAGCAAATGATATCAAAGTTGAAGAATTAAAATTAAAATTCAACGGTTTTCTTCATTCATTTGTAAACAAGCTGGGTGGAAATTTTCTTGGATTAATCAAACCGAATTTCCTAATAAAAATGAAGAAAAATCATTTAAGATCCAACATTCTGGCCAAAGGGCACAAAATGTACCGTTTGCTATTTTTATTTTCTCTTTTTAATTATGCTCTCATTGTATATAGATTGGATTAGCAAGGGACTATAGCAGTATTTAAAAAATCAATAATAGTTAACATTTTTTTCTGTATTAAAAGTTATTTTAGAAATAATTAACCTGTGTATTAAGTTAGTGAAGAGTGTAAGACCGAGAGGGATATTTTAAATTGTTCTTCTTGTGTATAACTTAAAATTCTGTTACTGATCCCTTTGGTCTAAAATATAATTCTGTTAAAATTGAATGTCCCTATTGTTAATGATTTTTTTTCTCCGCAAGGCATACTTTTTCTCCATTGCTAAAATAAAGAACAAATTATTTTTGTGCTTTAAACAGCACTGTGTTAATGCCAAAAACATAAAATAAATCAACATATCAAAAAGCTGTTTGTGAACTTAGTAATACACCCTTAATAATTATATAAACTACTCGACATGTGGATTAAATATACATTGCATTAATATCTTACATGACGACTTGTTTTGATATTATATTATTATATAAATTTAGTTTCAACAGTATGTATACTAATTTATAAAACAACAACACACATGATTGTTTTTTTAAAATTATTTTTGTCACTCATTTTTTGAAATTATTTTTATTTTTATAGGCTAGTTCATTATTTTCTCACTAATAGTAAGTTGTTTATTATTATATTGACAACCCACACCTGCGGCAGTAACAAACTCCCTTTATATATTATAAATAATTTATTTTTTTATTTTTCTTAATTTTGTTGGCACATGTTGTTTAAGTACAATTAATACTGATCATTGACAATGTAACCAATGAATGAGAAGTATTTATGGATTCTATGATATACAATATCATGCCTTATAATGGACATGCGATTATTAAAAAAATATATGAATCTACTGATAACTCTACAAAATTGTCTTCATATCCATCATGTTTAAGGTTTCATTGGTTGGGTATTATCGTTTTTGTTGTTAAAATTACCCATGGAACAACTTATTCATCCCTTAAGATAAATGCTTGTAGGCAATTAGAGAATATCTCAATGTCATAAGGACAATTGACAGTATTAAAAACATTTACTAACTAAACAAAACACAAAGTAACTCTAAAAAACAAACAAAACGTTCAGTTTAAATGGGGAGGAACTTACTTTCATTACTTATTTATGCAAATGCATATATTTCACAATATATACATACATACAAGCATTCACACAGTTTTCAAAAAATGTTTCAGAGACATTCATTTTGTTTTAGTGATGTTTCCTTTATTTATAAAATATATATTTTTTATTTCATTTAGTACACGGAAGTTATATAAAATTATGAAACATTTAATGTCAGTGTGAGTACTCAATTTTCCGGCCATTTTGTTATTATTTTATTATCTTTAATTAAACAGTAACCTTACCAATGTTAATTCCATTTATCCACATCTCTTCTTTCAACGGTAATACACTACTAAACATATTCACCATATCCTATAACATTTTAGTATAAGTTCGCACAGGTTTTTATTATTTTAGTTTAAAATCTATTANTTATATAATTTGTATTTTACAGTAATGTCCAATATTTTTTCCCATTATATTAACAAAGGATACAAAAACAGTAGTTTACTGTCTGTATATATGAGCAAGGACTGCACAGCACGTATTCACAAAGCCTGACCAGAATTCGTTGAAGTTGACACAGTGCACTTTGGAAATTCCGTCGAGATCCCCTTCCATTTTGCAAACGCCTTAATTAATTTTCTGAATTTATTATAATACATATATATTTTTTTTTGTAAATATAACACTAGTATGGATACTAAGTATAATTCGATCAACGATAATTACAAAAGTTAGGAGGTTATTCACTTTCCTCTGCACCGTATAAAACGTAATTCAGGTGTTCTTTATTTTATTTTAGTTATTTAATGTTTTAATTATTTAACACCAATTTATTTGGGAACCGTCATCCCCGCACCATACACTTCCATATGATGATAGATAACTTTTGTAACATAAATGCATCTATTCTATGTGCTATTGTCAAAAATTTTAGCATTTGAAAAAATTTATTTTGGGACTATAAAGCAATTACTAGAAATATTTATGTATTTGGAGTAAAAATACATGCCTTATAATTTATCTGAATTTAAACTTAGGTAGATGAAAGTGTAGTCTGTGGGTTTGACAGGTTGGGTTGAGCAAGGATCAGACACTGTCGACGCTTGCAAACCTCTGTCCTAGTTCATCGCATACACGCTGTCGCGAAGTTGGGGGTGGAGGGCGAGGAAGATGGAGATGGTGAGGACGACGCCTCCTTGAGCGTAAGCGCCTACACAATAAACAACCAAGTCCAATCAATAGGAGACTACAGCCTACTCCGATGACTGATGGCCAGAAAATTTCCATTGCAACTTCTGTGATGCCTGAAAACATGACAATACAGTTAACAATGATCATTTAACAATACGCATTTACTTACAGTTAATTTCATCTGAGGTATCATTAACTCCACAATTAGCGACCCTGTTACAGCGAAGTTTATCTGCAATGCAGAAACTGCTTTGTTGGCAGCGAAACTCATCACAATTTTCACCTGAATCTGCCACTTCAGTCCATACAGCTTTGAACCCTTTTGCACCAACTGATTTGTCTGCAGATATGAAACTAAAAAAACCCATACAATTACAATACAATTAACATATAACTTATCAGGTATAGATAGAATACCTTATACGGATATAATTGGATTCTGACATGTATTGCCATTTCTCAGTGTCCTTCTTTTCCCCGCAAAGTTCTAATGGGGGCCCATCAAGAGTGTACCATAGTCGGACAACTGCTGCTGGACAACCTCTTGCTGTGAAATTAATTTGTGTTTAGCAATAATGAAAATAATTTTAAATTTATAAACTAATAGGTAACACAATTAGAATGTAGAAAGACTTACTATTGGGTTCACCCTCTATAGCAAATTGTTCAAAGTTGAGTAAGACCTTATGGTTTGGGCGGACATTAATGTACCAGTTACATGTTTTACTGGCAACTCCTTTAATCGGACCTCCATATTTCAATGGGAAGTTTGGGCTAACAATAACTCCGTAATGGCTGCTACTCACATTGCTACCACAGTCTAGATGAAATTAAATGTTAAACTGATATATTGATATTCAATAATTTAAAGACAAACCTCCAAAAATTGACTTAGCGACATCGAAGGAGTACCGTGCTTTAAAGCCACTGTAAACTCCTTCCTTATCAGTATGTAGGATGACTTTTAGGCCAATAGCCCCCCTGTTGGAGTCCAACGGGCCAGGGGCTGTCATACCGCAATATCGTCCGATCAGCTTCTCCGTACCGTCCCTGTATAGATTGTACATCTCCAGCCAGTCTTCAAAACAGATGGAAGAACTGAAAATTGGAAAAACAAAATTATACGGGGACCTAGGTCATTTTGTTTTTTCATCTCAATTACCCATAAAAGCCAAATGTTCCATTTATCGCATCTGCACGAACTCGAAAATGATCAAATATAAGTGAGACTTGTTCGTTAGGTGTTGCATTGAACACATATGTGCAGTTGGTCTGACTTGGATAGTTTGAAGGGTATCGTGGAGAATTGAACTCTCCCTTTTTCCTGCTTGAACTTCTGTATGTAAATGTACAACTACCATCAGGGGCTGCTGTTCCCGGAATTCGATATTCTGTTCATAACATACAAATTCAGATAAAAATGTCAGAACAATAATTAATTTAAACTGTAATTAATTAAAGCATAAAAGTTAAAAATACTTTTTAACCATGTAATATTAATTAATGCAAATTATGAAAATTCATATAATTGTATGGGTGCTATTTGTTAGTTAAAATTCTATTGCTTAATTCATATACTGACCTGTTTCAAAAGTATATTTTGCTTTAAAACCTTGCCCTTGGAGTTCACCACTGCTGAAAACCATCACTAATCTTGGGCCATCGGACACAACAATGTTTGGCTTGATCTCTTTACCGCACAGCTCATGGTCAAATTTTTCATAAGAATCTGTCGCTTCTTGCCCTTTTAAATACAACTTCAAATAGCCATCACTGCAGCTGCAAAGATTCAATTGAAAATTTAAACCACTGTTTTAAACTGGAACCTTTTGGTTTGGATGTACTTACTCTCCTTTTTCTCCTTTTGGTATATCAAACTTTAAGAATTCTAAGCGTACTCGTTCTAAATGTTGTGAGTCTTGCATTCCATAAATGAAATATCGACAGACTATTTTTGGCATATAAGGAAACGGATAGTTGGGACTGAATACATATCCACTTGATTCCTTTTTACTCAAAATTTTCTGATCACATTCAGATCCTCTTATATGCTCACCATCATTTTTCCCAATAAAATCTGCGGAATACAATAATATATATCTCTTTTCTACCTATTAAAGACAAGTCATATTGCAACTATTTACCTAACTTAACAAAACTTTCACTAAATTCAAAAATGCCTTTGAAACCTCGATTCTGTGTGTTGGCAGTGCGCTGTAGAGTTTCAAAGACAATGAACATGGTTGATTCAGAGGAATACAAAACGAGATTTCTCTGTTGACCGCAGTAGGTACCTATGACAGCCGAATCGTTTGTGATGCCATCATAGATCTTTAAAACATCAAACGGGCAGCTGGAACAATAAGCGCAGTACATATTTAGAATATACATATAACTTACAATAAAGTACAACCTTAATACGACAAGGAAATAATAAAACTTTTCAGTTTGAAGACCTTTTATAACTTTTGATATTGAACTTACTGAGGTCCACCATAGAAAAGATCAAAATCCCTGAACTCCAGCCGTACCCTTTGACCAGGTTTTCCTAGGAGCAGGTAAGTACAGGTGAGATCCTTAGGGTAGCTTCCTGGGTATGTTGGGGATACTATGTTACCCTGACGTTTCTGTTCGGCATGAATTGTATATGAGCACAGTGAAGTAGGAGCTGGGGTGCCGATTTGATACTCCGCTGTAACAATAATAATAATAAAATTATTCTTTTAATGTAAGGTTGTGGTTGAGATAATAAAGTCAGTCAAAGAGGTAAAAAAGTCAAGTTCTCATCAAAGAATGAGCGGGTTCCAAATTTTAATTTTAATTTATCTCAACCAAGACCTTACGTAAAAAGAATAATTAACTGAAAGAAGTAACTTGGTCAATTGACCACTAAAACATAAATGGAACAATAATAATAATAAAAATCAATCTCATATATATTTGTATTTTTAAATAAAGAATAAATAAAATTTTAACTTTAAAACAATATATTTGGAAAAAAGGAAAATATTAAGAAACATTTTTTGATATAAATTCTAATTTCAAGAAAAAAAAACTTAAAAAAAGTTAAAATTTATCTTTTTGGCATTTATTATATTTAAAAACAATATTAAAAACAAAAGTACAACAAACTACTTTTTACCCAAAAACTACTAAAAAAAATTTTGAAAAATTTTAGTAAGGCAGACTTCCAAGTGGAATACTTGGGTATGTTTCTAAATGGAAGGAGGGATATCTCAGGGGTACTTACAGTCGTTGATGAAGGAGTAACGGCCTGCGAAAAGCTCAGGGGTGGTGATGTTCTTATCGGTATAGAAGCTTATAGCGATTGCTCGATAAAGGGAGATCCTTCTCCTCGGTGGTATGGGGCCACAGAACCTCCCTCCAAAAGGTGAATTGATCAACTCTGATGTCTCTGGTTGTTGAACCTCAGAGTAGACGTCGAGGTACTCGTGCGCACACCTATAATTTGTACCATCCAATTAAAAAATATATGTTTAAGGTGTGGTTTATAACGTAAATCTCACTAAAACCTTGTAAAAAAAAGAGCTTTTAATTTGTGTATTTCTCTAGATCCTAAACATACCAAGCACCATTGAAGCAACCAATTATTTAATTTTAATGTCTAGTTAATAAAGATTTTATTTAGAATGTATTTATTAGCATAAATGTAGGAGCACATTCCTTGGGAAATATTGAGTACTAATTGAGGGGTAATATGAATACATTGTGGTTTTGTGATTTTAATTTATTAATATGAATGGGGGAGCTTATCCCCAATCGCCCCAAAGAGTAGTGAGAATGAAGTCTAGAGTGTGAATGGAGAATTTATCAGTGTGAATGGAGGGCTACCTCCAATTACCACAAGGAATATTGAGTACTCTAGGGTAGTGTGAGTACTAACCAGACTTTCATGTTTCTTGTTTCTGTTTTTTGTTTGTTTGTTATTTGTGCTATTTTTTCCACTATTGACGAGCCCCTGAGGTACAGACAGGTTAGCAATAGATAAAAGAAAGAGAAATTCAGCTACCATCCTAATTGGTCTGATCATAACTTAACTGGAGAAACAGAAAAATGCTTAGTACAACCAAGAAAACCAAAGAAAAAGAGGGCTGGTGATGACTTTATACATATACATATATATATATATATATATATTGGGTTGTCCGGAAAATAATGCAGGATTTTGGTATTAAACAAAAAAAAAGANATCAATATATAGGACCATAATCTAAATTTAAAATCCAGGCAGTTATCTTTTCAGCGTTTGCAATTGCATATGGTTAAGTGGTTTTACGACTATCAGAAGTTGAAAAATTAGTATGAAAAGTCTTCTGAAGTATCTACATGCAAAATATACTTGTCATTTATTCAAAACCAATACTGACCAAAGGTGAGTTGATTTGAGTTTGGTTAAACTGATTTTAGTATAGGACTCTTCATCACCATTGTCTGTGCTATTTATTAAAACTGACAGATTTAGTTATTACTTACAATTCATTGCACACAATTTTTATCAAAGGTACAATATTTTTTCACTTGCTTTCAAACATGTTTGATTAGTTTTGTCAATAAAAAATAAAAAAATAAATTAATTAAAAAACTTAAAAAATGATTGTCAGTCATTATTATATATAGGATATGACATGATAATTATTATTTCAGTATTTCAGGTCAATGTAAGAGCTACTTACTCAGGTGGTGTTCCGCGAAGGTCGAACCCTGTGAATGTGATCTGTGCGCGTTGATTTGGGGCAGCGAGAAATGTGTAGACGCACTGCCGCGAGTGTCCAGCTGAGTTCACCAAAATAGGAGCTGTGAATGTCCCGTTCTGCGGCCCACCAGCACGGCTCACAAACGTACGGTCGCACTCTGAGGAGAAATTAAAAAAAATGTATATTTTTATGATTAAGGCTGAGAAAATGGCTTCAATTTTGATTCATGTGCACAAAATGAATATTTATTTGCAGAAATAACAGCAATATATGTGTGTATGTTCTTCTTTTAACTGATACTTTGTTATCTGCAAATTCTCATTATAAGCATTGTTTATCTTAAATTAATTTACATACTCATAAGAGTAGTACTTTTATTTCAATAATGTTTGGACCATTGAGCAATTTTGCAAAGAATTTTCCAAGCATAAAAAAATAATCATTAAATAATATTAAACTAATGATTAATATGGTCACGTCTTGTGATAGTCAGAACAGAAAACATAACAAAGAAAGGCAGGGGATACTACTACACAAATCAAAAAAACTTTTCAACAGGCTACCACCCTTATCAATAATTTTTAAAAGGATGGTGGTGATTAAGGATTTAACAATTAATTATCACCCAAAAGAAAGAAAACATCAAGCAAATGCTGGTCATACCAAAATTACCAAAAAAGTTATGATAACTAAATAAATCTATCTCTGACTTATCAAAGAAAATTCTAGACGTTGAAAAACTATATAATATAATTAGGGGAAAGATAAAACAAAAGAAAAAAATCTGTAGCTCTTCAGTAGTATGCAGATGGCTCAAAGGTGGAAAATAGTATGGGAATGGGCATAAAGGGGCCTAATTATGAGCATTACATGACCCTCGGCATCATCACAACCATCTTCCTATTGCTAGCCATAGAAACACGGGAACATGAAATAATTACCAAAACTCTCAAGGGTGCAACAATAATAATTGTATCAGATAACCACGGAGCTACAAAGACTCTCCAATTTCCAAAGAAACAACAAGATAAACTCAAAACTAGCCTCAAACTGCCAGAATACTTAAAAAAATTGAAATATACAAATATTCTAATGCTAAGGTCTGTCCCAGGCCATGAGGGAATTTCAGGCAATAAGGCTCAAATTCATTTTGTGGGATAAATTATAGCCATATTAAAAAATAACTGGAATCTTGGGTAACTAAAGAACACAACAAATACTGGTGATGTATACTAGAAAAGAAGGGTGCAAAAAGAAAAAAAAAGAAAACAAAAGTTGACTATGTCTAGAAGGGACAGAGACAACAGACCATACAGCTGTTCTGCAATAGGTAGGAAAAGGTTTTGACTCCTGAAAAGAATTCTGTACTTCATTAAAAAATAAAAAAAAATTCAAGAAATTCTTTAGCAGAGATCGGACACAATTTATGCAAATTTAAGTGCTAAAGCCTTTATCTCCAAACGAAAGAAGAAACAATTTTTCATTTTTGTCCAATTATTTATTGTGTAAAATATATATTGATAATTACATCCCATATTTTCCAAAATATTTTAAACTTAAAATGCGCGTTTTTAATTTGAGAGCAGTATTTTACTTTTATCGTTGATCCGTGTTCTTTCTATAAATAATTTTCTACTGACAAAGTCGAATGATAATCTGGGAGGGTTAGCCTCAATTCCTTTATACTAATTATTCAACAGATCAATAATCCAATTTAAAATCAATCCGAATCGAGAATAAGCATTTCTTTTTTGATAGTTGTTATATACGGAAATTTTTACAATAAATGCTCTTTTATCCAATGGATTTATTATTCATTAACTTAAGATGTTTATGGTGAACATTTCAATGTTCTGTAAAAGTTTACATTAAACATAGAAAAAAATGTTTTGTGTTATAAGATTTCACATCAAATATTGCAATGAACAAATGTTCAATTCGTAAAACTTCAAGTATTGACGTATATGAGACAGTTTTATAAAGTTGTTGTTTCTTCCGGGTAAGAGGAGTAAGGCAGGGCAAGAGAAGCAATTCCCTGTATATTGGATGTTGGCAGGTGAACGAGTATCGCCAAATTGACCTGAAAGAGGATAACAGAAAGGCAGGGAGGTGGGCAGGATTGTTACAAATAGCAATTAGTTACAAATCGACACGAGTATTCTTTTTGCTCCGGGTGGAAACAAATCGGGGTATTTTTTTCCTCAATCTTGGCTATCTAGCGAATGAATTTAAACCGATTTGTACTTTCGATTGAATCTGATCAAAATTGAATCATGACAACTAAGTATACAACAAATTTGAGCACTGATTTGGATTGATAAATAGTATTACTTTATTCTAACTTTATCCGACTAGCTACGGAAAATTGAAAAATTAAATATTCCATGGAAAACTTTAGTTAATAATAAATAAGAAATATAATGATAACATAAATAATACGTATATTTTATTTTTTACGTAGTTTAATTTTTAAAGGTAAAATCGTGTTTTGTAGCTCTGAATAGACTAAACCTGCAAGACACGACGATCGTGCCGGACTGTATCGTCCGACCCCGTTCCTTTTGATTCCACGTGGTTGATTTTTATTAGCAATTAATAAAAAAAAATTGTGTTAATTAATTTTTTCTACAACTGTATATGTATTATATACAACCAGCAGTTGGATTTCAATTTATGATTGTGGCATTACGGGCGTTATAGAGAAAGCTACCCATTGGCAGCTTATATATGTACGTATTCTTTTCAGTCGCTTACTTGGTAATTCTGGGAAATAGAGTAATCGTATTTGTGTGTTAGTGTGATATTGTAATTTACTGTGAAAACGTCTGTAATATGTTTTAATAAATGAAAAAACTATTAGTATGTGAAGATCTCTGTGAAGTATGTTATTGTTTACGTAAAAAGGGGGCAGAAAAAATTAGTCTTAAAATTTTGGATTGAAAACTTTGTAATCTTTGAAGATTGTAATATTTGGCCGATCCATAAACTAGGCACCCGTACATTCAAATAGGTTTGAGTACGTGTATGTATGTTGAAAGTTTTGATTTTAATGATAATTTTGATTGTCGGTTGAGTAGGTAATAAAGCATTTTAAATCGTGTGTTGTCTGTTTTTTTAATCGTGTGTGTGGATTCCAAGTTAGTCTTGTATCAAATGTAAGTCTTAAATTGTAAACTTTTTTCGGATTGAGGAACAGGTTCATTGTACAAGCATAGGCTGAGTTAAGTCTCTCAGCGGAGTGAAAGTGATATGTTATAACTTTGAGAGGTTAAACTTTATTTTTCAAAGAATGCTCAATTTTTCAATTGTTGTGTAAATGAATTTGTAACATAATTGTTGTCATCTGCGTATGTGGCGGAAGATGCATTCTCATTTGAGGGCACATCAGAAGTAAAAATTGTGCTAAACAGAGGAGCCAATATTGGCACTCCTGCAAGCATATCTTCCGTTTCAGACGTCTTCGTACCCTGGTTTACTGCGAAAAATCTCTTAAGGTATGATTGTATAATCAGATAATAGGCCTGGGCTAAAAATAATTTTAATTTGTATAATAATCCCTCATGTCGTACTTTGTCGAACGCCTGAGAAACATCTAGAAACACTCCAGTCGCGTACAGTTTCTGCTGGAGGCATGAAGTAATAAAATCTGTAACTCTGTGAATCTGATGAGTAGTGAAATGATGGGTTCCAAACCCAAATTGTTGTCTGGTAAGATGTTGTTTGAAGTAGTAATAGAAATAATTCTTTTGTAAATTATTTTTTCGAATAATTTAGAAGGAACGGGTAACAAACTAAGGGCGATAAGATGATGGGGAGCTTATATTTTTATGAGATCATTTTAATATAAGAAAATTTCTATTGTATGGGAAAGTGTGTAGTTCTCAAAATTGCGTTAAATGAAAAAGGCAGAAAGATGACGGATTTTTTGGGAAGTTCTTGAACAACTTCAACTGTTATCAAATTATGATCAGGTGATTTTTTTAGCAAGGTTTTGTATTTCTTGTGTATTTTAATTTTTTTAAATAATGCTTATTATTAGTTTTGTTATTTAGTAGTGTTTGAAAAGAAGTTTTGAATTAATTAGTTGATTTGGATTTATATAAGCCCAAATCTGCACATGTGTGTACATATATACACATGTGCAGAGTTGAGTCTATCACTTCTCGCAGTCTACCGGTAATTCCAGCTTTTGTAATTTATAAAAAATTACCGCCAGGCCTTGAGAATCACCCACCTCGGTGTTGGCAGTCAGGGGTCACCTCAGTTTTGTCCGTCTACCCACCGAGGTTCCTGCTGTCAACAGAATTGATAATTGAACTCTTTAATATGGAACGTCAGTAAAAATACCGGTCCAAAATACTGCCTGTTCAAATTCGTATTTCACGATTAAAATTAAATCTCCAGCACTTTTCTCCCCTTGCTCTTCAAAATACATCAACTTTTATTTACACCCATAACCGTTTATCTCCCGGTGGAAAAGAGTTTCGCTGATCTGGAAGTATACAACGCAAGCCAAACATGCAGAGCCGACAGAAAATTCGTTACCGTTTTACACTCATCGCTAATCACTCGTAGAATGTTTATATTTGTTTTGTTTTGTACCGGACCCCTTTTGGATTTTTAAGAACAGCGTCAAATTTGTTTGCAATTACGATTCCAACCTTTGACCGATCAATGCGTATGAATTAATTCTCAGACGAGGCCAACTATTGCCCGGTTTTCTTTCAATCTAAAAATAATATTCCTTCAGATAATATCGATTTGTTTTATTCTCAAACACACCATAAATGATTAGAAGAGGAAAATTCTTGGTCGATTTATTTAATTTATCTATTTATCTATTTGATATCTCAACTAAAATATGTTAAAGTAAGATTTACAATATTTTTATGGCAAAAAGAAAAACAGCTATTTATCATGTAAATCTTAAATAAATCATGTCATAATTCAAACAAAATCGGCATGTTGTTAATTTAAAAAATATTCGTAAACGTTTATAAAATCTTACAATTTGTTGACTAATTTAATAGGGTATTTCAGGTGGACTAAAAAGCCTTTTCCTAGTAAAGTGTCGTGCCACAATGACATTTAAAGGGCGCTCAGGGATCACTAGAATTCCCAGTGGCATTTTATACTTGCTTTTCGTTTCTTGAAACCCCGTAGCCGCTTTTTCTTTGATAGAAATGATTCCATGATGTTGTTGATCCTGATTCCTGAGACAAAAAAACACAAAAACAGTCGGCTATAAATTTGCTGATAATTTGTTTTTCTATTTTAATCAGCTTCATTATCGACCGGGTACAACGTTCTAAACTTCCTGGCTTTTTATACTTTATACTTCATATCCCAATGTTATTTTCTTCTAACTATTGACCGTTCAAGAACAATAACAAGTTTGTCCTTTGGAATGAAATTGATCGCAAAGTAAAGCCGAAATTCAAAATTAGATTTTGTTAAGACTAAAGTATCGTTAATAGTGTCAATTTTTAATTAAACGCCATATTAACAGTTTCAACATTTTTGTCGAGGAACTGCATGTTTGGAAGAAATCGGTTTGTTAGACGATTTTTATGCAATTCATCAGTGCGGGATTTAGTCAGACATATTCTTTTGTTTTTTTTTGTAACACGTTATGAAGACTTGAAACGCGTCAGACAGACGAAACCGGCAACTGTTGGCCGACCAGGACCAAACCGGCCAAACTATTTCGAATAAGTTCATATAAATTTTTTTAATGTATGTATTAAAAAATTAATTCTTTTCTATTGTATATTGCATAAGAAGATTTTGGATTGTTAAGCTTGTAACTATGGTTTAGATTTTTCTTAATCAATTACATGATTTTGGAAAAGTTTTCGATGAAAATTTAACGGTCTTTCTGGGAAGTCTGCCTATGACATTAAATTTTTGATTTATTAATTACGGTGTAGCTAGTGCGAGAGGAAATGAGATGCAAAAATATGATCATGATGATGAGAAAGAGATGTCTTTAGACAAGGATCACTTTAGTTTTTAAATCGAACGTTTGAGAAAGAAAAAAAGAAACACGGTCTATGTGATAGAGTGAAAGTGAGAGAGAGAGGGAGAGAGAGAGAGGCAGAGAGAGAGAGAAGAGAGAGAGAGAGGGAGAGAGAGAGGCAGAGAGAGAGAGAGAGAGAGAGAGAGAGTGAGAGAGAGAGAGTTGAAAATGAAGGAGTTTATATGGTCAGTGAAAAAAGAGAAATAAAAAGTAATATAGATGTACGTAGATTACAAGTAGAGGTAGCTAGATAGTGAGAGAAAAGATGCGAAGAAGGGAGGTTCGAGGGAGGAAATGAAAGAGGAGAGAGCCAGCGAGAGAGTGATAAAGAGGATGAGTGAGTGAGTGAGAGAGAGAGAGAGAGTGAGAGTGAGAAAGGGTGAGTGAGTGTGAGAGAGAGAGAACGAAAGGGTGAATGATTGTGATAGAGTGAAAGTGAGAGAGAGAGAGAGAGAGAGAGAGAGGGAGAGAGAGAGAGAGGCAGAGAGAGAGAGAGTGAGAGAGAGAGAGAGAGTTGAAAATGAAGGAGTTTATATGGTCAGTGAAAAAAAGAGAAATAAAAACGTAATATAGATGTACGTAGATTACAAGTAGAGGTAGCTAGATAGTGAGAGAAAAGATGGGAAGAAGGGAGGTTCGAGGGAGGAAATGAAAGAGGAGAGAGCGAGCGAGAGAGTGATAAAGAGGGTGAGTGAGTGAGTGAGTGAGTGAGAGAGGAAGAGAGAGAGAGTGAGAGTGAGAAAGGGTGAGTGAGTGTGAGAGAGAGAGAGAACGAAAGAGTGAGTGATTGTGATAGAGTGAAAGTGAAAGAGAGAGAGAGAGAGAGAGAGAGAGAGAGAGGAGAGGGAGAGAGAGAGAGAGAGTGAGAGAGAGAGCTTGATGGCATATGTGTTTCGGAATCTTGTCTGTGTTGTGTGTCTTGTAAAAATATACGTTGAATGTTTCATGGCTTGTTTTATTTCATTTCCTCCCTGTTTACCTGTTTATCCTTAGGATTATTATCTACAATTTAGTATGTTACTAATATGTGCGTGATGTACTGAGCCGTATTAATAATTTGAAAAATTACCAAGAAAAGAATAAAGTATCAATTTGTCAAGTCGATTATGAAAAAATATCGTGCAGGATTTGAAAGGCGTTGAAATTATTTATTGGCCCAATAAATTGATTTCATGTTAGGTTTAACGTAGCTTGGTTTGTCTATTTGTCTAGTAGAGTGAGTTCTTGGTAATGTTTTAAATGAGAAAATTGTGTCATGTATGATTATAGTGGTAACAATTGCCTTAACTAGTATCCAAAATTTATATTATTGAATTCTACTGTGTGTATGACAGAAGTTTTATTTCACCTTTGTTCAAAACTGTAAAAAAGTAAAACAGTTCATAGTATCAAAATTGATCCACATCGTTTTGAATTTCACGGGCTTTACCTGCATCTGGTAAATTTTGGTTCTTTATTCCGAAGGATTTGAAGCTTAATCGTATCGATGGATTAGAAATCGTCTAGCATTTCATCTATTTTATAAAAAATCAGGTAAGTGAATCCTTTCCTCCTTGATCTAGGTCAAAGCCCCCTAGAGACTGCTGACTGTACCGCCGCCTTTATTAAATTGCAAATTCTCTCCGTTAGGCCTCCCTTGGCGTTCCATTGTAGGGCAAATATCGGCTTAAGATATGCTTAAGAGAAATCGATAAGGTCGCGATGACCCCTGAAAGTAAGGTTTTACATTTTTTTATTGTTACGATTGATAAAACGACACGGTTAGAACGATAAGCTATTCCGATTTTAAATATAACGGAAATCTTGTATTTAACAATAACTTAACGCGTTTTAATGCCAAAGTAATTTGTACAAGAAATTACTTTATGCTTTGAATTTTCTTCTGTGAGGTACAGAAAAAACATGTTGACTTATTTTAAAATAAATTTCCTAGATAAACCATGAAAATTAAAAATAAAGTTTTGAACATTGATAAACGATTTGTAAAGCGAGGCTGCTTGGTTTCTTAGAAAGAGTTTTACAAAGCCTGAAATAGTGTGCGTTTCTAATATTTTTCGCTGAAAATATAAGTAAGCTCTAAGCTAAGGATGCTACTATTATGATAATACAATCTGGCGAAAAGTGATCCGAAAGGGGTACACTTTTTTTTTAGAAACTTAACTAACTTACCCGATTTCCCGATTCTATGTTTCCTTTCGTGTGCGGAGCAAGTCCCATCTGGAATCAATTGGAAACTGGTATCAGATTGACAAGAGGGTGAACGATGGGGAGAGGGGTGAGAATTTCTAAATTAAAACGAATCATATTACACGTTATTAGAATTTTGTTGTTGTACGATGCGTTTACATCCTGTCGAACCGTTTGATGATAAATCGTAAGCAATTAAAAATGTGAAATTAAAAGACACGATAAATTAACTGTACATTCTATCGACCGTTATGGATATTTTGTAATAAAAGAATATTTTTACTATCATTGTTGATGGTTGTGTCGTAAAATGCTAAACTTTGTCACCCACATTTCTGATACGGAGTAAACTGTTGGATTTCATTCGTTGTAATTTAATTCTTAATTCAATTACTCTTGGAACATACGTTGTAATATTGTAAATAGATGTACAAATATAACAAAAATCTAGTAAATTACTAATTATATTTTTAAAGTTCTGATGATTGAGATATAATCCTTGAAAACTCAACCAAAGAACTGAGTGTTTTTTTCCAATAAGGCTTATGCCTGATTTTTAATATAAGATTAAACTTAAGTTAATTTTTAATTTATTACTTTCACGCTTCATCATTTCCAGACATCCTTTTTCAATTTTTTACAATTTTCGTTATGTACATTATATTTTCTGATGTTATGTTTTATCTTGTTAAATTACAGATTTCTTGGGGTCTAATTGATTGATTTTTGGCAATTTCAGAAAACCTTTGTGTATGTATGAAGGGTAACCAAAGTTTTATTCTCTACCAATCCTTTTTCTTACTTAATCAATAATTGTAAAAATAATTGCAAATACAACAAAGTTTCTAATGCGAGCGATTCCACTTCGAGGAATTTCTTTAGATGGGAATAAGGAAATGAAATAAATAGAAGATGGAAATAAAATTTGAACGAATTATCTCTTGAATTTCACAACAATGAAAAACGTTCATGACATTTCAGGCAAACAACTCAAAATGTATTTTTTTGTCTCTTTTCCAGATGAAAACTCTCCAAAAATTTACACTTTTTAAAAAATGGTTTGAAAAAAGTATATTTTGAGGGTAAAATATAACATATAGAGCCTAAATTAAACAGTATAATGGTTTATAACACACACAGACACACACATAAACTCACTTTCTTTATTTATCTTTCCACTTTCTATATATATCTCCTTTTTTCTCCATCAATCTCATTCGCTCTTATTCTTTTCATCTCACATTATTGCTTAAACTATTTTTTCCACTTTCTCTCATACTTTCTCTTTACTACAGAAAAGAGCCTCCTCTATCGAATTTTCTTAAAACTATTTCGACTATTCTATCTATCATATACACACTCAATACTCTCTTTATTATTCCATTTTTTCTTTATCTATCTATCGCACTGAACCCTCTTCTCATCCTCTTTACGTCACTCTCATGCACTTTTCTCTTTTCATCTGCCATTTGCTCATATACTCTCTCTCGCACCCTCTTTATTTCTCTCTTCTTTATCTCTATATACATATCTTTATATCTATATCTGTGTAACTATCTTTCTATCTACCTACTATGTATTTATCTATCTATATTTTTCTCCATCTCTCACTATCCATGTTTTGTCCTTTTAACTACTTCTATTTTTCCATTTCTTTATTTCTATTTACTGTAGTTCACTATTTCTTTTCTCTCACCACACATACACCCTCTTTTTAATTCTGCCCTCTCTCTTTTTGTTCTCGTTTCTCTCAGCCTTTCTCATTTTTCCCTCTCACCAATCTTTTTCCTGGATTTCTTTTTCTCTAACTGTCTATATCTTTCTATCACATTCTTTATATTTTTCTCAATAGTTCTTCCTTTTTGTATGCACAAATTCCCTTTTTTCATTCACTCTCTCTCTCTCTCTCTCCCTCCCTCCCTTTCTCTCTAATCCCACTCATACAGGTTTTTAGAATTTTTGGTTTCGTGTTGCGAGTAGCATTGTATAAATACTTATAAAAATTTCTATAGTATTAGTATTAGTAGTACATTTATAAATACAATTAAAAATTAAAAGGAAAACTAAAAAACAACTGTTTTTGTGTTGTGGTGTTTCAAATTTACTTTCAGTCGCGGTGAAAGTGTAAAGTGTAAGGTTTTACAGAAATAAATCTTATTTAGCTGGGTGGTTTTAAGCCGTTAAATTAAGTTTAAAAAATGACATTTGGATTGACGATGGAAGTGTTCCTTTGAAAACTGAAAGCAATTAAATTAATAAAATAAATGAAATTGCATTCAATGAGGAGAGCGTGTTAAATGAAGGAGGAAGGCGAAGTGATTGTCGTCCATTATTATGCGAACAGCCAACCAGACTAACTTGAATAAATGATAGGAGGAAAATAGTCTCCATAGAAGAGGAAATTCATAGACCATGAGGTTCTCCGGTTCTGAAATAGGGTATCGACCACCAAAAGTAGATTATGTCCTGGGTCAGATCTGAATTAGTGGCCCCTTTGAGGGGAGTCATTACCGAGTTAGGCGCTGTCCTAACTCGCACTCCGCCGAGCATGTCCGGGTTCCCAGTGCCACCAAGTTTCCGTGAGCGCGTCAAACGACCATTGGTGGAATTTAATTCAATTTCGAGTTTAAAAATCCGTCAATTTTTGGTGAGTTTTTTTTCAGGCGGACCTCCATTGCGTTAAAGATAAATACGATGATCAGTTCAATTATTGCACTTCATTCTTCCACGCATTAATTAGTTAAATAAGTCACGCTATTTGATGAAGTCGTGTCTAAATTTTTTATTAATACTCCTCTGATTCGACACTAGACAGTAAAGCAATCATTCCCATTAATATTTAAACATACATTTGTACTACACCCAAGTAAATTACATAAACATATGTACATGTTTTATTTATGCAGTACACTGTTTATGCGTTTACTGTTTAATTTCTGACGACACCCAATTTGTTTATCTATTTGGCTGAGGATTATGACGGTATGAAAGTGAGAAAGAGAAAGAGGATGTGGGAGAGAGAGACGACGATATGTTTCTAAAAGCTCGTTGCTCATCTAATAATAATCATATTATTCTTAAATTATTATTTATTAATTTGCAAACATATTCAATGAATTGATAACAGTCGTTTTGTTCCCGTTTTTAAATGAAAAAAGAAGAGAAGATGGATAGTGAGAGAGAAGAAAAGTGGAAAAGGGAGAGAAAAACGTTGCGAGAAAGAGATAGATATGTAGATAGAAGGTAGGTAGATATATAAATTGTTACATGAATAGTTTGATAGATAGAAGATAGAATTAGATAGATTGATATATTTATAAATAGAATGCGCAGGACAGAAAGAGATAGATAGACAGATAGATAGAAGAGAGCGGGTGAGAAAGAAAGAGAGAGGGAGGGAGAAAAAAAGAAAAGAGAGCGTATGTGTAGCAAATAGAAAAAGGGAGGAAGCTAATTGTGTGATAAGTCGAAAGAAAGAGGTAGAGAAAGTTTGAGGGAAAGAACGATAGTCAGAGAGAAAAGTGTGCGTGTGTGTCTGAGAGAGAGAGAGAGATAGATAGAGAGAGAGAGAGAGAGAGAGAGAGAGAACGAAAAACTGAGAGTATGTGTAGCGAATGGAAAAAAGGAGAAAGCGAATTGTAAGATCAATCGAAAGAAAGACGTAGAGAAAGTTTGAGGGAAAGAACGATAGTCAGAGGGAGGAAAAGAGAGAGATAGAATGAGAGGGAGAGAGAAAAAAATTAGAGGGAGAAAATAGAGAAAGATAGATTGGAAGGTAGTTTCGAAGATAGATTAGATAGAGAATAGATGAGAAAATAGAGGAAAAAATTTGGACAGTCTGAAGTTGCAAAAAAATTGACTATGTAGTCTCTTTTATTCAAAATTTAACTATTACGAAAACACCATATCACGGATTTTTTGTCTAAAAAACATTACTAAAGACTGATTTTATTGATAAATTCATTTTTAAACATTTAGCCCAATTTCTTACACCTGAAATTTATTGTACGAAGATTTCTAATTGATAGCAAATTGCTACACGCAACAAATTAGAATTATCCCTGATCATTTTCTTTCGATCAGTTAAAAGCAAAAATCCTTATATCCGGTTTTTAAAGTTGAACCTCACGCAATAATCCCATGTAAAGTAACAGGAATTCCGACGAGTATAGTGTTTTTCATGGGTCGAAAAAGAATAAGGAAAGTGCTATCCAAATTGTTATTCTGCCTAACAACCTTCTCTGACCAGACCAGGTTTAAACGATCGGTGAATAAAAAACTGTTTCGAATGCTTTATAGACCGAAGTTTCATTTCTTATTCTAACACCCGCATCCAATCCATTCATTCTTTGCCCTTGCCATTTTTGCTATCTCTGAAGGATCATGAAATTAATGAATGGGCCGGCTTTTATTAACAGAGATTGATGGACGGTGTGAAGCCAGACAATTCAAAATCCATCAAAAATATGTTTCTTTTATTTAAACAGAGAAAGAATTTTACGAGGTTGTTTGAAAAAACAAATTCTTATGGTCTTCTTCATCTTTTTATTTGCGAAAGAACATCCAGCTTTCACGTTAAGCAACGATCAGGCCGAACCTTCTCTGGTCGATAATGCTGAATTACTCAGCAGTGGAGGCTACCACTCGTGGATTATCGGCTCCAATTTCTACTTACTACGAAAAATCTTTATGTCAAAAAAACGTGATTTTAAGAATTTGTCTGCACAAATGTGCTACAAATATCACAACACAATGGATTTGAGATTGGGTTAAATATCCAATGTAAAATTTTGATTTATTCAGAATAAAAGGTGAACAGGCAAAGCAATATGCTTTATAGTAAAAGTAATTATGCCTCTCCCTGCTTATAACTCTGACGTAGTGAATTTTTAGATAAATGTGAATTTATAGCAAATATATTAGAATTTGCTATAAATCTGTATTTATGTAATTTACATCAATATGTTGATAAATACTAAGGGGATGATGCAAAATAAATAATATAGATTTTGGAATAGTAATGAATTTTTCTAAATTTTTATACCTTATCTTTAATTAGATATTGTTTTGGTAAATTTAATTTATCCTTGGACGTAAATAATCAAAAGATACGATCTCGAGATATACTTTAGGGGTCTTTGTATAGAGAATCAAGTGCACGGCCAAAGGGTGTGAGAGTAGGGTTACCCGAGGGTTGATTAAGTGGACCTTTTTTTAAGACCCTTAAGCACCGCTTACTCAACAACTTCTTAGTGTACAACCAAAGGCTAAATACGATCCTGTACTCGGTTGAATCCCAATGATTTACAATTCGGTCGGGCTGGACTAATGGATAAGGGAAGACAATAAAATGTCATTAACTGAAACCCGGTGGGATTAAATGCATCATCCAGCCTCTTTTTTTGCCGTTCGAAAGCACAATTTCGCCATTATACTTTTGAAATTATTTGTTTATCAAATTGTTTTAAAGTACTAAGTTTTAAAAAATGTTGTTGTTAAATGTAAAATCTTTTTAAATATAAACCAACATTAAAACTTAGTAGATTTATTATGTTTAGTATTCTGATTGACCAAATTACTTCTTTCAATTAATTATTCTTTCAAGGTCTTGCTTGAAAAGAAATATTAAAACTTAAGTAATACAAACATTTTTAATGGACTAACCTGAAAAACCAAAATTTGTGGAAATTGTACAGTATTAAGCAATTATGTTATACAGTGACAGAACACCCGATTTTCATTGCTGTTAATTAGCTGAAAATTACAGCGAATCTTTCTTTTCCCAATTGCGACAACGATGCATTACAAAAACCTTTTGTGTACATGAAATTAATAATTTTTTTAAACTTATTCTATTAGTTGTTAATTTTCAAACACATTCGCTACAGTATAGTTTTCATTTGTTCCCAAGAAAGGTAAATTGTGTCGAAAGTTAAGCTTTATTGGTTGGTCACTGTCTTTGGACAAGGATCACTTTAGTTTTTTAAACGGAAGGTTTGAGAAAGAAAAAGAGAAACAAGTATACAAAGAAGAAAAGTGGGTCTATGTTATAGAGTGAAAGTGAGTGTGTGAGAGAGAGAGAGAAAAAGTGTGAGAGAGAGGTTGGGAGGAAAGAAAAGAAAGAAAGAGAGATAGTACAATAATGGGAGTATGTGTAACGAGTAGAAAACAGTGATATAGAGTTACATAAGGGAAAACGGTTAAAATATATTGAAAGAAAGATATGGAGAAGAAAAAAATATAGTGAGAGGAAAGAAAAGTGTGCGTGTGTGTGTCTGAGAAAGAGAGAGAGAGAGAGAGAGAGAGAGAGAGAGAGAGAGAGAGAGAGAGAGAGAGATAGATAGATAGAGATAGAGATAGAGATAGAGATAGATAGATAGAGATAGAGAGAGAGAGAGAGAGAGAGAGATAGATAGATAGAGATAGAGATAGAGATAGAGATAGAGATAGAGATAGAGATAGAGATAGAGAGAGAGAGAGAGAGAGATATAGATAGATAGATAGATAGATAGATAGAGATAGAGATAGAGAGAGAGAGAGAGAGAGAGAGAGAGAGAATTAGAGAGGTAAAGAGAGAGAATGATAGATAGACATTAGTGGAAGGTAGAAAGCAATATATGGATAGGTAGATATAGAGAGTTAGAGAAAGAGAGAGTGAGAAAGAATGAAAAAGTGAGTGTATTTATGGTGAGTAACAAATGGAAAAATCAGAAAAAGAGATATAGATGTAGATAAAGGAAAAATGGTGAGATAAATATAAAGAAAGAAACGGAGACATACTGTTAGGGAGAGAAAAAGAAGAGAAGGAAGGATACTGAGAGGAAGGAAAAAAGTGTCTGTGGGTATGTATGTTTCAGAGAAAGAGAGAGAGAGAGACAGTGAAAATAGAAAAATAAAGAGAGCAAAGGAGAGAAGACATAGATAGAGAGAAAAAATAAAGATAGACAGATAGATAAATAGATTGATATTTAGATAGATATATATAGAGAGAGAATAAAGATAGATAGATAGAGAAAGAGTGAGAGAAAGAGAGTATGTGTACCAGTGAGCAATATATATGTTTTTCTGACAAACTATCAACGTTTTGTCATAATTTTAGGAAATATCTAAGGCCAATTTTTTTGTTTGTGCGCAAGTTACTTTAAATAATTCATCAAACCCCAACTTACAGTTTTATAAAGATTTTACAGTTGGTTTTTCAAACCTTTAACCACGGTCGAATGGGCTTCTTTTGGAATAGATTTATATGTCATCAATTGGAAGATGAAAGCGAAATTACCGGAACAGACATCAATAACAATTTTTCCACCCAGTTTGGTACAGCCGGAAGTGCGCGAATTGATTTCACACGAAAAATACCATCATAGGTTGAGTCATCTTTTCTTTTATTGGCTGGGAAAATTAACACGGTGATGATCGTTACATATGTTAATGAACTTATTATAATAAGTATATAAGGTAGATAAGTATATTTTTTATAAAGGCGTACCTGAAATTTAGGATAATATTATGAATAACATTTTTCAATAAACTGAAGAATATAATTAACGATAATTTATAAGTTCCGTATGTTGAAAATACAAATATTGTTTGTTTCTGGTTAATTGTTGGCAATGTTTTTACCGTAAATGTCAGTTATCTTTGAAACTTTTAAAAGTAAGCCAGATTTGTTACTTTTGATTATAAATTTATATTTGATGTCGCAGTGCATATTATGTACAAGTTTTTTTTAAGCCGCTCATTAACCATGGGATCTTTGACTCGTTTTGCCATTAATCCGGTTTACCCAACTTCGTCACCAATGACCTTCGCCTTTAGAACGTGTTTCGTCTCTTTTCGAACCCGGACTTTTTTCTCTTTTTCCTCTCCTTCTTCGGCGTGTTTAACGTCGATTCTATCGTTCTACATATTCAGCCCTGAGAAAAAGGGTTATTTCAACGAGCACCTGCCAAAATGTACAAAGAGCCTCCGCCTGTCATTTCTGCGTTGATAAGATGCTCAACTGGGGGTAACTCGCTATCTGTTAATAAACTTGTGCCTTTGTCCCTTGGGGCGAGCCTTGTTTTCTAACTCAAAACTACATCCTTTCACGGGGTTTTCGTCCTTTTGAGAGTGAAAGCCTTCCCTGATTAAAACCAATAGTTAAAAGGACTGTAGGCCATGCCCTTTTCAAACCGCAGAATAATGAGCTTTGATAATAAGTCGCTTTGTGCTTTCAAACATTTGACATTTGGAATCGTAGAAATCCAATTAAGTCAGACTTTATATACGTGGATAAGTGAAGGACAATCTTATTATGTGACTAAAACGTACAATTTTGTCAATGTTTTACTTTTACGTAAGGCATTTTTTGTAAAGTAGTGCTAGGAATTGAATCTTGCATTATTATTTTCTTATTTGTTTTAATAATAAAGACAATTTTATTTCTTTAATAATACAGATGAATGATAAATTCGTAACTATTTTTTTAAAAATATTAACGACTTATTTGGACACAATTGATAATTTAAGTAGTTCTGCAACAATCATTGTATCGAAAAAGCGGTACATACTCAAATAAGGCAGTTTCAACCTGTCAGCCGAATTGATTTCACTGGACTCACCTGCAAATCATAAACATGACATATTAATTTATGAAACAAAATTGAATTAAAAAAGGAATGTTAAACTTTGTTAATATAATTTTTAACAATTATTCAATAGAAAATCTTTACCCCTAATTACAGCTAAAGAAAAAACTTTTTTTTGTGGGTTGTTTCAATTGAAGGGGATGGTAACCTGTAGTTCGGTCAGTTCCGAACATTTTGGGCCACTTTTCTTGTTGTTGTTGTGAAAATATTAGTTATTTTTCTTTAGCAATTAGCAGTTGTAGTAGTAGTTGTTTTTGTTGTAAGAAACAGTATATGTTTCTTGTGAAGTATTTATGCTGAATTATTATTCTATGTTGTAACAAAATAGTCGTTTTTGATGTCGCAATAATAGTTGTTTTGTTTAGTAATTAGTAGTTGTAATGTTAGTTGTAGTTGTTATTGATGTTGTTTGTATTCTAACAAACGTAGTCGTAGTACCATGTTGTAGTAATATATTCGTTTTTGTTGTAGCAATAATATTTGCTTTTGAGCAATTGTTTTTAAAGGTAGTAGCAATTAGTAGTTGAAGTAGTAGTTGTTGGTTTTTTGTTATAATAACAGTTATTTTTAGTTGCACTAATAGTAGCTATTTTCATTTTATCAACAGCACTTGTTTTAGTAATGCTTTTTATTTTTTGTACTAATCGAAGAATTTTTTCTTGCTGTAGCGATATTAATATTTTTGCCTGAAATTTTTAGTAGCTCTTTGTTATAAGAGCAGTAGTTGTTGCAGAAATATTGGTCATTTTTTTAGTAGCATTAGTTGTTTATGTACTAGCATTTTTTATTTGTGGAACTAATTGAATTTGGTCCTTTCCGACTAAGGAACAAGTATTAGTAGCTTTTATATTATCTTGGATTTTTATTGTATATTTGTTTTTGAGCAATTCTTTGTAAAGATAACAGCAGTAGTTTTTCTTTTTTATGTCAATAGTAGTAGTTCATGCTGTATAAATTGTGTTTGTTTTTGATGTAGCAATAGTAGTAATTTTCTAAGGCAATTAGTTATTTGTAGTAGCAGCAGTTGTTTGTTTGTAACAACATAACACAGCAATTGTTCTTGTAATAGATTTGTAATTATGTTTGTTACACTAAGTAGTTATTCTTAGTTATACTAACGCAGTAGTTTTTTGTTTGTACCAATGGTAGTTTTTTTTAAGAAACTTATTATAATTGTAGCAATAGCAGTTTTATAACAACAATAGTTAATACTTTTATAGTAGTTGTTTTTGTTGCATAATTAGAAATAATGTTTATTGTACTAATAAAATTTGTTTCTAGTTTATTAGTAGCTGAAACAATAATAGTTGTTATGGCAATATTAGTCGTTTTTTCGTAGCAGTAGTAGATGTTATCATTGTAACAGTTGCAGTTTTTTATTATTCAGCTGTTTCTGAGTAGTTTTCTTCTGGTTGTGGCAATAACAATTTTTTGTTGTAACAGCAATGATTATTTTTGTTGCGGAAATTGTTTTTCGTTTTTCTTGTAACAATTATTTGTTGAGTAGTAGTTGTTGTTGTTGGCTATAGAAGCAATGATTGTTGTAACATTAGTACTTATAGCAATAGAAGTTTTTATTTATCAAAATAGTAGTAGTTTTAGTGGTAGTATGAATAAACTAACCCAATATTGAACGATTGATTTCTCATTTAACATGCGGAAGAAACAGTATCGTTGACAATTACGATTTTTCAAGAAAGAAGTCAAATAATTTACGTATTCAATTTTTTTTTTAATTTTACGATTTTATATAAAATAAATTAGAGATGCCGGGATAGATTTGCGTTCAGGCTATACAAATATGACACAATATATGTACACAAATTTCTAAACCGAATTAAATAAAATCAGAATTTAAAGTGTTTTAGCAAAAATATTTAATTAACACGTTTTGAAAGAAAATTCAAAATGACGAAAAATCTTTTAATGATAGATTAAAATTTAAATTAACAATGTATTATCTGGTTTTGCTCTTAATACATTATTACGATGGCGGGTTTATATTAAAATAAGTATGTTGCGATTAATATAACAATAAAAATAGACGTAATAAATAGGCTAATAATTGCTATATTTGCATATTTGCCCTATATATAGTTTGAAATGGACAACAAAATATGGGTGTCCGGTTTTTTGAATATAAACGACCAAACTCAAAATATTCGTCTGTTTGTATTAATAAAAATAATAATTAAATGGTTTTAAAATATTATAGATAAAGTATTATTAGAGAAATAAACAGATTTTTTATATATAAATTTTACCAAAGAGACCAAAAAGACTCTTTGGTCAAGGTTACGCAAAGTGAATTTAATTCGGTTTTAATTAATATTACTGCCATGTTGTGTAATGTGGGTTTTGAAAACTTTCCACAAAATCAAAAAGTTCGAAATTGTCCGGAAACAAGGAGTAATATGCTTTTCAAACCTACAGGCCCAAAGTTGGAATTAAGCTCAAGTTTGGTATAAGCCTTTGAAATCTGGGATTCTAATAACGAAGTGGAAATGGAAGCGAAAGCATTTTGTCCGACCGTTTCGAAAAGAAGGAAACGACCCTTTTCTCTTTTCTTTATCGACTCTATTTTCACCGTTATCGACAAGTAGGATTCATTCTTATGCTCGGATCGATCTTTAAGCACTTTGGCGTGGGTCGGTTATCTCCAGGAGGCTCACTTTTAAGCAATCGTTTATTCATGGAAAAACACTGGAGTGTGTCACCGAGGCATTTTCGATTTAGAAGACTTCGATGTCTGCCCATGTTCTTCTAAGTTGTTAAAATATGAGAATTTCTGTGTTAAAGTATATAAATTATTTTATTTTTAAAAAGAAACGTAGGAAATATAAAACAGAAAATTATCTTTCGTCCGTTCCTGTTATTTTAATCAGACTATCCTTCTGTTTAGTCTGTCAGATGGTTTTTAACTTCTCGCCATCTTCAGGAAGAGTCTGAATTATTCATCGCTCAGACCTTACGAGAAAATGTCGCAATATACTAATACTGTAAGTTTTACATAATGCAAAAAAATTTTTGTAGAAATTTTTTTTTCAATAATCAACTATAATCCAAATAATAAATTGTTTGTATTTACAGTGTTATTTTTTGGAATAATAACAAACCGTACGATACAATTAAATTGAACGAGAAAGAAAAGTAGATATCGTTGATAGAGATGTGGAAAAGTTTGGAATGCTGTTGTGACAGCTTTCCATTTCCTCTACTAAGCGGTCTAAAAACTCGAAGGTATTCTATTGGGAAATGATACTAAACACTCTGACCACTGTTCAATATTTTGCGACTGCGGAGAACTCCCTAAAATTGTCTATCAAATTTATCTGGTTTTTTTGTGGACAAATAGAATGGAGAAAGACATAGACAAGAAAAATTAGGAATTCGAATCCCTGACAAATTATATCGACTTGAGGGATGGCCACTGTTTTAATTCCCCGGCCGTATATTTGGCCAATTGCTCTTTTCCCCCCGCTGACCCATTTCTTGTCCTATTTATTTCCCTCCGAAGGCCAATGATCGGCCGAGTTATGTCCCAAATTTACAGTTTCGGTTGACTGATGACAATTAGAAACAAACCTAATTACCGTTAACTTTTAAATGTGCAAACAACAATTTATCGTATACGTTCGGATTTTATTTATCGTAAAAATATATCAATTCAACGTTTAATCATCAAAAATAATTTACTAATAAAACTTGTTGCTATCAATATTTAATTTTTTTCCTTGAATGGGCGTGTTTAAACTTTTTTCCTATGATTATTAAAATATTGTAAATATTTTCTAAATTCTTAGGAAATAGTAATACTTAAAATTTTTGAGTATTTAGCACATAGATTTATTTTTAAGTTTATGTTTTAACCGTAAAATTGAAATATAATGATTGTCGGTAGCGTTTAACCTTTAAACAGCACCATGCTGCTCGTTGCTTTTTGCAATTTTAATAGCCAAAAGTGCAATTTATACATATTAATATGCAAAAAAAATTCGTAACACTTTATTGTAACATATTGGAATCTCTATACCAAATTGATTTTTTATGTCTAGCTATTACAACCTACTTTATGTCTATCTTATTACAAATTGCAATGCTTAAACAACAATCTCTACAATGTGTAAACAGAAGAAAACATTTATATAATAAATTTCTAATGATTGCATAAACATTTTTTTTCCTGAAACGTAAATTTTACCTAAGTAGATTATATGTACGAAAAAAGGATAAATTTTGTTTTAAACTGCGTTTTTTTACAAATTCCCTTTTCCGATATTGCACAATAATTGATTTCTAAAACTAATGGACAAGGGACGTCAGATCTCAGGTCGTAGATTCCCCTTGTCGTCCGTAAATTTTCTGATGCATCCCTCACATCAAATTATTGGTCATTTACTCTTCTAAATATGAAAAACATAATGCCCCTAGAAGTTTTTAAAACATATATATATATTGGAAATAACAACTTGAATGCTATGATGAAAATTCATTTAGTATGACAAACGATAAAATATTGGAGTTATCATATGTAAGACATTTTCAGAGATCAATATAGTTAAATTTAAAACAAATTTTTTATTGATTGATAAAAAAGACAGAAAATAGTACAAATAACTAACAAATTATATCATAATTTTCAACTTAGATTTAAGTAATTCGAACCAGTTTGATATTCCAAAAATTAAATTGGTTAGATTAAAACAGAAGGATCCTTTTGATAAAACTCTTACGCGGATTGGACATTTAATAAATTGTGCGAATCTGTTGAAGCATAACGATAATCCCTAATAAACTGTATTAGGCTGCTATAAAAATTATAGGTTAAATTTATTTTAATAAATGTATCATTTTTAAACAGTTATATTTCAAATTTTATTTTGACTCTTATAATTGATAACTTTTAACATAAGAGATAAACACTTTATAGCTTACACGTATATTTTTTTAAACATAAAACTGTTTAATAAATA